TTCAGCAGGTAGGGAGTTGAGTTTAAATTGGACAAGGAATGTCTCTGAAAAGGTAAACTCCAATGAGTTCATTTGGGCAGCTATATCTCTCATTTCCATAATATGTTCACATACCCCTTTATTACCCATATGCTTCATTGATGATAATTTGGTCATTAGGGTGCTAGCCAATGCTTTATTGAAACTTACAAACTGTTGTTCAATTGGTGTCATGTATTATTTTGCCTTAGTACATTCAGGAATTGAATTCCTTATATTTTTCCCAATATGACTTTTAATGAGACAGATACTTAAGCGATTTGATCGCTCCCACCTCTCATAAGAAGCCCTTTCACTTGGCGTACTTGATTCCGTGGGGATGGGTGGTTCATCCACACGAAGTGCCAAATCAATGTCCATACACCCCAATGTTAGAAGAATTTTCTCCTTCCAATCCGAATAATTATCACCAGTTAAAAATGGGATATGAGATGAACCAATATTGACAGAACCAAATAAAATTACTACAAAAAGAAAACATGCCAAACATTACTCTACTATACAATAAACTTTATCGAAATTTTTAACCCACGTTAAAAATTTCATATCAAAAAAATGTGTCATTATAACCTTCCTGTGGGCAGAGATTTTAATACACTAAAGTTTTGAAAAATATAACCATAATGGGATAAAATATTTTTACTGGCATTAAACTGATAATGATACAATCCTGTGGGCATTTGTATTCATTGCCAGTTTAATTCCATATCCTTTTATTATTATTATTATTATTTTTTATCCACGTTCATTCATAAATAATGATTATTTTCCCGTAGGGCAAAATAAAACACTTTTTATGAATGAACTATAACTTTTTAATGCATAATCTTTATGTGATATAAATATCATATATTAAAACTTTTTATTTTTTTATTTTTATTTTATATCACAAAACCAACAACCAAAGATGCTGTGGCTACTCTCTGGTTAAAAAATACACATTAAAATAGTAGTAATACTTATACTTTAATAAATTGCATGTATGAGAATATATTGGACATGAATTTTTAAAAAAAAACAGTAACTGTACAACTCTAGAGTATTCTTTATTTGTATAGAAAATTTCAAAACTATACAACTCCAGAGTATTCTGCATAAATAAAAATTCATTATAAAACAAATCTTTATGGTCTTATGATGAGATTCGCCATTTTTTAAAGCAGTCGTGAAACCGCTCGGGTCTAAATCACTTTTACCATTAAAAAGGCAAACGTTGTTCCCATTGTATAAATTCACGATGACATTCTCCCATATTTAAAGCAGTCGTTAAACCGCTCGGGTTTGAACACTTTATTCGTCGCAATATTTATGGGTGTAGTATTCTACCACTTCATTTCGGCCAACGTAACCAAACGATAAAACAGTACCAGAAAGATATTACAGACAGAAACACACCCACCAAAAATAATACAGAACAAATAGAACACAAAGGAAATATTACAGGCCAAAAAGACAACGGCGACATAGCCGCTGAACAAATATTACAGGCCAGAAAAAGAACGGCAACACAGTCGCTGAACAAATATTACAGACATACAAACCGAAGGATAATATAGCCAAAAGGTATCGCTCTGATACCAAATGAAAAAAAACTATCGAGTCCAAAAAGATCGTATTACCTTTAGCCATGAGATCAGTTTGATTAATGCCTACAAAACAAATTTGGAAATCCTAATGATGTTCACGCCTATACAAATCTTTATGCGTGTACTTGATGGAGACAACATAGATTGCTTTTGTTAGGCATGGGACCTCTGTAAGGATTCTGTATGAATGAAACGAGAGAGAGCAATCCATCATGCTAACCCTTGTTTTAAACTAATCAGATGATAACCGCCATCAACTTCCCACAACCACGCTGTTGTAACTTCCCACAACGTGTAACGTTGTGTCAGACGCAGTGGATTAGAATATAAATGTATTGTGGCAATATAGGTCACACACGTGTTATAAATATACGTGTCTAACAGAAAGGGCACAATTCTTTTTCAATTAAATTATGAATTGATATATGTTTTTTTAATATATTTGAAAACCAAACGAATTATTTAATGGATAATGCTTAGCTACTCACTGGTGAGTAGGGTGAAGCTACTCACCTCTATATGGTCCAATAATAAAATAACACATCACATTTTAAAATAAAATAATCTACACCTAAAAACATTATATACAATTTATTCAATGAATGATCCGAGAAAGCAGAAAATGTGTAAATTATTTTATTATTAAAGATGATGTGTTAGTTTGTTATTGGATCACATAAGGGTGAGTAGCTTCACCCTACTCACTGGTGAGTAGCTAAGCATTATTCTTATTTAATACTAGTAAATATTTCAATTCAATAATTAAATAAAAAGAGTTTATGACTTTTGTTATCTTGATTGCATTACTCAATAAAAAAATTTCAACTAATGAAATTAGATTTTCTCTAATCATATAATAAAAATTATTGTATTCTATATTTTTATTCATCCAAAAGTAGGATAATTCCGAGTGATTTAGGCAAGCGGAGGCAAACATCATCATTAGAGCATCCGGCGTGTCCTTATTTCCATATTGGTTGTGTACTGTGGCGATGCAAATAGTTTGATATGAGGATTCCACACTGTGACTTTCACGAGATAATCTACACTCCATACTCCACATTTATGGATTAAAGTAGCGCCTGTCACATTTGAAAATGGTGAGTCTTGGGTTCAATTATACTTTAAAAATAAAAAAATGATGATGTGTGGTGGTTTGCAAAATAATTATTGTATATATTTGTTTAAGCTTTATTGTATATGCTTTTCTATAGTGTATTGTATCAATTGATTAATTTAAAAGGAGTCATAATTTAATTAATTAAAAAAAGTCATTTAATTTGCATAAGAATTCAATGATTAAAAAAAAAGGAAAAAAGAAGATTAGTACCTTTTGAGTTATCAATTTAATTAATTTATATATTGCATAATAATTTAATTAATTTGCATAATAATTTACAAATTACATTTTATTCGATTAGACAAAATATAAACATTTCATCACCAAATTGATTTCACAAAAATTCCATAGGATATCTCCTAAGATCAACATTATCCGCTCTTTTACGAATTTTTCTAATGCGACAAAAAATATGTGTCACCAATATTGTTGGGTTTCGGATGTATTGCAGGAGGTAGGGGCGGCTCAATCTAATTTGGGTCTTAGGCGAAAAATAAAAAAGTGACTTTTTCAACACTACAAATAAAATTAGACACAACTAAAAAACAAAATATACAAATATATATACACACAAATTTATAATAACAAAAGTTAATAAAATTAAAAAATAATTTAAGAAAAAGAACTATTGAACCTCATTTAGAAAATCCAAATCTAATACTTCTACAAAATTTTTAATAAAATAAAAATGCGTTCATAACAACTGTAAACTTGTAATGAGATGGGTAGGAGAAGACTTGTTGAAAAGAAGAAAATAAAATATATAAAAAAAAAAAGAAAAAGAAAGGAATATGGAAAGTTTTTGCAATTTTCCCAAACAACAACATTAAATAGATATTTAATATTTTAGTGTTGGTGTAACTTACCCAAATTTTTTTTTAGTGTTGGTGTAAAAAATGTGAATAAGAGAGAAAGAAAGAGAGGAAAAAAAAATTATATAATGATATAATATTTGAGGCCTAATATAAAATCGGAATGAATGGGAGAGAGAAAAAAGAAAAAAAGAAAAAGTTATTTTAGGTTATAATATTTGAGGCCAAATATAAAATTGAAACTGAGTGGGATAAAAAAAGAAGAAGCTATTTTAGGATATAAATCTTTGAGGCCTAATATAAATTTTTTATATTTATTAGAGTTTACAATATTAGGATATAAATCTTTGAGGCCTAATATAAATTTTTTATATTTATTAGAGTTTACAATATTAGGAAATAATTATAATATAACTTAATATAAGGAAATTTTAAAATTTTGGGGCTTTCCTATTGGTTGGAGCCTTAGTTGCCTAACGCCCGAGCCGGCCTTGGTAGGAGGGATATTGACTCATCAGGTGGATGTGTCTATTGCAAAACATTTAGCCTTTTGGAAAAGAAAAAAAAATCATTTATTTTTCTAATAAATAATTTTTATAACATAAATAGTGGAGATTAAAAAAAACAAGAAAAAAATAATACACACCAACAACTTGGAGTAAATCCAGACCGTTGTTGATATTTTTTTTTTTGTAATATATTAATACACTATTGTGGGCCTATTTCTTAATCAAAAAGTCTAAATTAAATTGGTTCACCAAGTGTTCATGGATCTAAACCATCTAATAATTTCTCCAAGTATAGAGTCACGCGTATTTCACTTTTTTTAAGATATAAAATATTCATTGGATGTTCTTTATGTCATTAATATTTCTGATTTCATGATAACATCAATCTCTAATTTCATAAAATTTACTTCTAATATTAATAATCAATTGAATTAGTTTTAGTGAGATGTTACCAATAAATTCGGCTATTAACTTTATTTTCTATTGAATAAATCATTCAACTTGCTACGTTTATTGCTTGTCAAGTGTGATGGGTCGAGTTCGAGAGTTGACATTTTATACAAAAATAATTTTTTTTACAAAATATAGAGAGTAAAATTATGAATAATTAGTACAAATTATTCCTAAAGAGAGAGAGTTAGATTATGAATAATTAATAGACAATATATAAAAATTGATATATACTCTCTTATATGATAATTAAAATGATTTTTTTGAAAATAAATTATAAATTATTAAGTATATAGATGTGTTAAGAATTATATGAAACATAATTGTTTGACTAGCTATGAATGGATTTTCACGAAGTTAACCCAAACAATTATTTCTCAAAAAAATATTTTCCACGCCAATATACGCCATTGTGGCGCAAATCAAATTACAATATTGGCTTTGTACCAGTGTGCAATATTTGACTAACAAATAAAAGGGGGCGATTCAGCAAATTCAAAAACCCAGTGGCCTAAACCCTAAACGAAGAATAGTTAGAGACTCCCACAAACAAATTGTAGATTCGAGGTTTATATACATCGTACATACATAACCATCAAAGTATACAACATCGTGCGGAAGAACGCGAAGCAAAGAATGCTGATTTTCCAAAGAAAACTTCTTCAAAGGATTTCTTTTAATCAAGTTCGTACTTCTCTCAACTATAATAACACGTGCTTATATAGATACATACGTATATTTTAATTTTATCGTATTTTTTTTTTAATTATTATTATTATTATTATTATTATTATTATTATTTTTGTGTTTTTTGGATTGAATTAGTAAATGGGTACTCCTCATTTTCGATTTTCCATGTAGCTTCTGGTCTTAATCCTGTATATGTTCACTAAAAGAGTAGAGGACTGCGCAACATGTTTATTGAATTTGATTGAAAAATTTATGATTTTGTATCTTCATTTTATATTATAGATGGAATTTGCTCAAAGTAATTTGTGGGCTTTGATCACTGATTAGTTTTTTCATGCCTCCAAGTTTGATGATTGTGTGTTTATATGCTTTCTTGTAGTAATGGAGTTGTTGTAGTTTAATTTTCAATGAAATGCTTTATGCTATTGTTCTTTTGCATAACTAGCATTTGATTACTCTAAGTGATGGGTCTTCATTTGTATGGTCCAATTTTGGGTTTAAATTTTCAATTATTGATTTGCAATTGTATAAATTACATTTGGCATGCTTATTTGATTCGATTTCATGTCAATGTTTGGTGAATTCGGTAATATAGGTAGCCAAAAGCCGTTCATATTCTAGCAAGAGGGTCGTTGATGTGGGGCAGCCAACTGCTGCTACTCACCCTCAGGTGATGCTTTTCAACATCTATTTCACTATTCTGATTAGTGTGTGTGTGTGTTTTTTTTATAATTTTTTTTTCTTGCCTTCTGTTAAACTATTTATAATTGTCATTTTTATGATTGTAGTTACTAAAAGAAGGGGAGATCACACCTGGCATAACTAGTGAAGAATATATCTCGAGAAGGAAGAAATTGTTGGAGCTTCTTCCGGAGAAGAGTTTAGCAATAATTGCTGCTGCACCAGTAAAGATGATGAATGATGTCGTGCCTTACACATTTCGACAGGATGCTGATTATTCTTACATTACAGGCTGCCAACAACCTGGGGGTATAGCAGTTTTAGGTCAAGAGTGTGGTTTATGCATGTTCATGCCAGAAGCAAGTCCTCATGTATGCCTAAACTCGTTTGATAGGATTTTCTTAATACCCGATTAATGCTGTTGAATTTTACATTTATGTGGTTTGGATAAATTAGACATGCAGTTTGCAGCACCATTTCAAACATAAAAGGATGTTTTTAAGCTGTATTTTTTGATGTACTATCTATTTAATATTATAGTATACATAAATATGCATATTTGCTGATGAAACTACCGATATAGATGCTGTACTGCACATAGAAAAACTTGATACATGACTAATTATCTATTAAATATATTTTAGGATGTTTCTTGGCAAGGACACATTGCCGGAGTTGATGCAGCTTTAGACACATTCAAGGCTGAACAATCATATCCAATGAAAAGATTGCGTGAGGTGAGTTGGTTATTTTGCTTTGATTATTCTGAGAACATGTAAAAAAGTAATTAAATCAAGCTGCAATTGTACTATATTGACAAAATATCTTCCATAGTTACAACCAGTGTGAGATAATGGAGGACTAGCATGAGATGGAAGCCTATTTGCTCCCTGTTAGTTAGTTGCATGATACAATAAAACACTTCCAATTTTAAACTGATGCTGTCTACAATCACTTAAAGAATTTTTAAGAATATAAAAGAAATGAGTACGAATAGCAGAGAAATAAGTATTAGTAGTATATGGAATAGGATTGCAAACCAGAAACAACCTCTCCATGCGAAGGCAAGACTGCATACATCTAACCCTCTCCGGACCTTGCAATGGCATGAGCCTCATGCAGTAGGCTAGCCCTTTATAATGTGTGTAAATGTGGAAATTAGTTGGAATGGGAATGGAAGCCCGAAGTATCCTAGATTATGACCAATTAAACATGGCCTAAGAATATACAAACCCTATAACAAAATGAATATTAATAGAAGTACCAGTTTCAGATAACCTTAATATTTCATATTACAAAATACTCCAATTGGGATTATTACTATTAAACAAAGAATATGCCAAGGAATCCTAGTCTTTGCGCCTTTGTATAACAAGGCTCTACATCATTTCAACTTTATTTCTCTTTCTTTTCCCCCATTAAAACATGCAATCTATTTTTCATGTTATCTTGGTTTGACTTACCCAACTGTAGTTGCTCACATTCCTTTTATTTTTATATTTATTTTTGTAACCGGTGGTTGAAGATCCTCCCAGACATGATAAGAAGTTCCTCCAAATTGTTCCATAATTTGAATACAGCTATACCGAGCTATATGGACTTGGAGGCCTTTCAGAAAGCTGATTCCAGTGGAAAAGTGAAAGATCTTTCTGTATACACCCACGAAGCACGGTGGATAAAATCACCAGCTGAGCTTAAATTAATGAGGGACTCTGCTTCAATAGGTAGCCAGGTACTCACTCATTCATTCAAAATTTTGCCGAATATTTTGATTGGACTTTAGTGGATGAGCCTAATACTTGGATGTTCCTTTTCCTCATGGTCATTAGTGATATTTCACGAGTCTCTGTTAGACCTTGTGATGTGGTGGTAATTAGTATGATAAAGGAGACCAAAATACAAGTGTACGTAAATGTTGGAGTTGTGTAAAGTCATGTTATAAAACTTTAGACCAACTCTTTATTTTATAATCACATCTGTTTAGATTTGAACCAATTTTACGATAACAAGGATGCGCTGGACCAATAAACTGTAATTGAATACTTAGCAATATGCCAATATATGTTAGGTCATTGATGTTTTTGATATGGTAGGTCTTTGTAATGATCAATATATCTGTACTACAACTGAATATTTAGAAATATGTGTTTTTGTCATGTATAGGCTCTTTTGCAGACAATGCTGCATTCAAAGACATTTCCTCATGAGGGTATGCTAGCAGCTAAGGTTGAATATGAATGCAAAATGAGAGGTGCCCAAAGAATGGCGTAAGCCTTTTCTTCCCTGACTGATTTTTTCTACACCCAACTCTTGTGCTTTATTCTTTTACTGGAAGACGTTGGGTTGAATGGAAGATGGTGTATTTAATTTCTGCTTTTCTGTGACACTCTAAGCAAGATTAAATCCAATGCTCTACAAACTTGATTTTCTCCCTCACTAGATTCAACCCCGTGGTTGGTGATGGGCCTTCTGGTAGTATTACAAGGACTTCTTCGCCATAATGCTTCTAGTCAAAGAGTGTGCTGATTATTTACAACTTTTTTCTCCTTTACTAGATTCAACCCTGTGGTTGGTGGTGGGCATAATGGTAGTGTTATACATTATTCTCGAAATGACCAGACGGTAAGTTAATTGAATGTAATGATTATATTCACTTTTCATGTATAGAAATACTCCATTTTGTAATTAAAATGAATTGCATTAACAGATCAAAGATGGGGACCTCGTGTTGATGGATGTTGGATGTGAACTGCACGGTTATGTTAGTGATCTAACTCGTACCTGGCCACCGTGCGGCAGCTTTTCTCCTGTTAATGTATGTATTCCATTTTGCTTCAAATCATCAACAGTCTTAGAATATATAATTTTATATATATATATATATATATATATATATATATATTATGAAATCTGGTTTATTTAAAATTAAGATGGAAAAACCAAAGTACATGACAAGGATGGAGGCCAAATAAGAACAATCGGAAATCACAGATGATAATGACTCTGAAGCAGTCTATTATAGAATAATGATTTCTCAAACAATCCCTGATAACTAAAAAAACAGAAGTTCCTCATTCTCAGAAGTCTTTTTTGTTTCATTCTCTAAACACAACACCAATTGCAAGGGGGGTTAATATGCAGAGAAGCTTGCCATTTTTTCTACATATATTGATTTACCGGTTACTTCCTTCATGTTATACCCAACAAATACCAAAGAGAGAAAAGAAAGCATGTCAAACATCTCAGTTACTGGGAGACATATGAAAAGGTAATCCATTGCATCAGCATCTTTCTTTCAATAATGAACCTGCTGGGAACAGACCGATTGTGCCTAACCGAGTAGTCCATTGTAGATGATTATCTTTGATTTAGTCCAAGAGAAGGTAACAACTTGGGGATGATGCCAAATAAGCTTAGCCCGCAAAAAAGCATAGCCTTGGGGCAAATAGGTGTGAGTAGACTGATCTAATGGAGAACAGGCTGTTATCAAATTACTTTACTTAGCATGTTCAAAATTTCTATTATCAACGTTCTGCAAGTTTCTTTAAGTATCCACAACATCCACAACATCTGAATTTGTAATAATTCCGTTTTAATTTTTTTTTTTGTTGTCTATGACTACTACTAGTAGCTTATTCATTGTTGCTTCTTCTTATTTACTTGGCAGTTTAAAAAATATTATTTCTCAATTTACAGTATTTTACTGGTTTTCTGCAACATGTGAAAATTTAGTGATTGGTGATGAAAATATTGTCCCAGCAACAAATCAAATTCCATGAAGAGGTCTCTTAGGCCTGAGAAATGCATTGGTTCTCACACCAAGATTTCATACTTTCTGTTCTTCTCTTCATTTTCTTTTTCTTCTATATGGACTGTTATCATGTCCAATTTTGGGTCTTGATTATCCTTTATTATTTGCTAGAACTTCTATAGTTTCATTGAAGATTGTGCAAGAGGCTTGAAACTGGTATACAACACCAATTGTGGTCCCTCGCTATTCGTCCCATGTCCTGCACACATGCTACTAACAGACATTTTTCAAAACTAAATGAGAAAAAGAAGAAAATTAGGGTGAACAGCGAATATTGACAATCAGGTAATTAGGAGTAACCATATTTGTTATTTGGATCAATTTATCCATTTGGAGCAGGATTCCAAGAGATCAGAAAAGACATGAAATAGAGGAAAATTTAGGAGATTGAGTTATTTTTATAAAAGAAAAGGGAAAAATTAGGAGACATCTATAAGGTTAAAGGACCTTTCAATTCAAAATGTTGGGTAGTCAAGAAACCGCGTGTCTTTTACTTTTTTTTTTTTTTTTTGATAAGTAAAATATATTAGAAAAGCGTTCAAAAGGGGAACGCGTCCCTGATACACAAGAACGAAAACCCTAAGGACCAATAGAGTCCAAAAGGTCAAAAAAATCAGCAATCAAGGAGCAAGCGCTTCTTCTTAAATAACAAAAAAGAGAACGGAGAATATGAGATTTTAAATTAGCTATAGTCGATTCTTTCCCTTCAAAATTTCTGTTATTTCTCTCTCTCCAAATACACCGCCAAACATAATGTGGATCAATCCTCCAAAAATCACGCGCATGACCTTTAACTGGGCATCTTCTCCATGCGTTGATGAATTGAAAAGAGTGCTCAGACATCACCCACTGAACACCAAAAATACTGAAGATAAGATTCCAACAATCATACGCCACAGGACAATGCATAAGAATGTGATCCACGGACTCACCATCTGTTTTGCATAAGCAACACCAGTTCACAATGGTATTACTCTTTTTCTCAAATTATCCAATGTCAAAATCTTTGCCCAGGTGGCAGTCCAAACAAAAAATGCAACTCTAAGAAAAGCTTTGGAGCGCCAAATAGACTTCCATGGGAAATCTTGGTTAGCGAAGTTGGACAAACACACGAACATGGATCGTACTCCATATTTACCATGAGAGGAAGGGACCCACAAAATATCATCACAACCTCTGCTAACATCCTTCTGTCTATACAACAAATCCAAAAGAGCGCACACTTCTGTCATCTCCCAATCTTTAAAAGAGCGCCTAAAACACACATCTCATGTAACCCCACTGCTATCAAGGTGATAACAATCAACTACGTAAGCATGCTTGTTTTCGACAATACTGAAGGGGCGAGGAAATGAAAGAGACAATAGCTGATCACCACACCACAAGTCTTCCCAAAAACGAATGTGCCTACCATTGCGAACTTTGAATCAAATATGGGTGGAAAACACATCCCAACCCTTCCGAATGAATTTCCACATGCTAACGCCTCTCGTGACAGAAACAGGACGAGAGGACCAACCCCCACTCTCCTCCCTTAATCGACACGAGACAACTCTTCTCCACTGATGATGACGCTCTTTATCGAACCTCCATAACCACTTACCCAAAAAAGCTCTGTTGAAAGGGACCAGCTTCCGAATGCCTAAACCGCTAAATTTCAAAGGTTTGCAAACTTGCTCCCAATTAACAAGATGATACTTGAACTCCTCTCCTCTTCCGCCCCAAAGAAAGTCACGTTAAATTTTTTCAATCCGTTCAGTGACAGAGCATGGAATTTGAAATAAAGATAAAAAATAAGTGGGAAGGGACGAGCGGTTACTCTTAATAAGAGTGACCTTCCCCCCTTTCGAGAGAGACTGTTTTTTTCATCTTGCCAATCTCTTTTCATACCTGTTGATCACCGGATCCCAACTCCCTACTCTCCTAGAGGAAACTCCCAAAGGCAGCCCCAAATAAGGAAGTGGAAAAGCGCCCACTCCACACCCAAGAACTGCAGCTACGGAGGAAATATCTGGAACATCCCCCACTGGGACAAGCACACTCTTTTAAACATTAATTTTAAGTCCGGACACCGCTTGGAAACAAGCAAGTATGCACCTCAAGTATGTGAGTTGGGAGACATCAGCATCACAAAAAACTAAGGTATCGTCCACGAACAACAAATAGGAAATCTCTATCTGATTGGCAGCATCTTTACCTACTTTGAACCCCCTGATAAAAACTCCGATCCTCAGGTCTTTTCATTAATCTGCTCAATCCCTCCATGACAATAAGGAATAAAAAAGACGATAGGGGGTTTCTTGTCTTAAGCCGCGCGAACTCGCAAAAAAATCAGTGGGAGATCCGTTCACAAGCACCAAGAACATAACGGACGAGATACAAGTTTCTATCCATTTAATCCACCTATATCCGAACCCCATCCTCCGAAGCAAGTAAAGAAGAAACTTCCAATTAACGTGATCATAGGCTTTCTCAAAATCAAGTATGCATAAGATGCCAGGAACACCATTCTTCAACCTAGAGTCAACACATTCCCTTGCAATAAGAACGGAATCCAAGATCTGCTGTCCCCCAACAAAAGCATTTTGTGACTCCAAAATAATTCCGTCCAATACATTCCGCATTTTGAGAACGAGAACTTTGGCAATAAGCTTGTACATGCAACCCATTAAGCTGATTGGCCTAAAGTCCTTACTATCAGAGGCGTTGCCCTTTTTAGGAATAAGGGCAATAAAAGATGCATTCAATGATTTCTCAAATGTGCCATGAGAATGAAAAACTTGAAAGGTGCCCATTACCTCATTGCGTACCACCTTCCAGCTCTCCTTAAGAAACCGCATGGTAAATCCATCTGGCTCTGGAGCTTTATCCCGATTACAGCTTGATAATGCCTTAAGAACTTCCTCTTTAGTGAAAGGAGCCTCAAGCCTGTCATTATCTAGCATAGAAATAGAATTGAACTGCAGACCATCAAGTTTAGGTCTCCATCCCAAGGACTCAGTGTAAAGCTATTGATAAAAAGAAACAATTCCCCCACGCACCTCGTCTTCTCTCCACAACTTTGTACCATTCACACGGATACGCCCGATGTGATTACAGCTTCTATGAGCGTTAGCAAGTTTGTGAAAGAATTTTGTATTGCGGTCACCTTCTTTAAGCCACAATGCCCAAGATCTCTGACGCCACGAAATCTCTTCCATAACAACAATATCCGCAAAAATCGCCTGATAAGACATTTTAGAGCGTAAAGACTCCACATCCTGCCCCAGCTCGTCAAGACGATCAACTTCAACAATATCAGCCAGGACTCTGTTCTTCTTCCATTCAAGATTCCCAAACACCTCTTTGTTCCACTTCTTAAGCTCAGATTTGAGAACCTGAAACTTCCTAGCTAAGACATAGCTAGCAGATTCTGTGAAAGATGCCTCCCCCCACTAAGACTGGACTTTCCCTTGAAAATCCTTAGATCTTAACCATATATTTTCAAAGCGGAAAGGTGTGCGTCTAGATCTCATCCCTCCACAATCGAGAACTAAGGGTACATAGTCGGACGTTACCCTAACCAAAGCCACCTGAGTAACATCCGGGAACTTTTCTTCCCAATCCCCAGAAATTAGGAACCGATCCAACCTTGAAAAAGTGACTGGATCTCTGCCATTAGACCAAGTAAAGACTGTCCCTTCCAATGACAGATCAATAAGGAAGTGGCCATCGATAAAATCAGAGAACTGGGTCATCTCCAAAGACCACCTACCCCCGGAGGATCTCTCAAACGGAGACCTAATAGAATTAAAGTCCCTGCCTAAACACTAAGGCAGTGACCGCAATTCCTTAACAAAGCTGAGTTCTTCCTAAAAGACTGGTCTATCACTATCAATAATAGGTCCATAAACTCCAGAAAAGACCCATTTAAAATTATCATCCTTCATCTGAAACGCACATGACAAAGAAAACCATCTTTGATCCCATATTATTAGAATTCTGCTCGATGTGCCGGAAGCGTTTAAAGTTTCTCATTCCACAAAACTTCCTCCCCAAAGACTCCTTACCACCTCATCAGAAATAGCGGCCATCTTGGTTTCTTGTAAGCATATAACATGAGCGTTCCACTGCCTCAGAGCAACCTTGACCACCCTTCTTTTATCCGTATCATTTAGACCACGGACGTTCCATGTAATAATTTGTAGCTTCATTAAGAACCAAAAATGATCATCTCCTTTCCTCCCCCCCCATTTCCCACTTCTGGTCCTTCCCCTTTCTTTAGTCACCCCATCCTTCCCCTCATAGTTGACATAGGAAATAAGGTTCTTCACCTCCTGTTCCCCTTTCCGATGTGAATTTTTTTTTCTATTTTTGCCAACTTTTGTGCTCTGATAGGTCTCTGTAATGTCGTTTCCTGTCACAATAGCATGAAGAATGGACTGAGTTCGATCATCATCACCCTCCGAAGAAACACCCAAAGCTTCACTAACCATGCCAATATTGTCACTCACCCAGTTCATACCCAAATCATCAGTCGTTCCTAAACAATCAGAGTGCACAACTGCCAGGGGTTCCATTATGTCTACATCAAAATGATCCATTTCCATCCAAGGGTGAAAACCATGAGGACAAACCTGTTGAGAAGGAACCTGAACATCATACTCTTCCCCTTCACTCTCTTCACTATTCCCAAACGCATTCAACTGTAAATCTATCTTTGTTCCAGACTCATATGTGACAGTCGTCATTAAGTCAAGAACATTATTCACTTTAGTTTCTGATGGTAAACAATTCAAGCCTTTCAGAGCAACAAAAAGCCTAAGTTCGTTAAGCAAAGACACAACTAAATCGTCTGTCAGCTTGAAATACAGGTCCTTTCCTACACATACAGTCACTCCATTAGAGCAATCTTCACTGCCCCAACAAGTTCTTTGATAGTGACCCTTCCATCCGTGGAACAATGTCTCCGGAACATTCCCTTTGTTGATCCGTACACTCTTCCACACCACTTCCCCCACTTCTTAACATCTCAGACGAAGAAGGAGAAGAGAAAAAACTCTGAGAAAAAGCAACAGAATTCAAACCTGGGAGATTAGAGGCAGGAGAGCGTGCTACCCACTTTTGTTTTTCATTACGGGTCCATCTAGAGCCCTGGCGACCGGCTGTTGCGTTCGTCGATTTCCGCTTTGCTTTATCTATCAACGACTAGCGAGGTGTACCACGCTGTGAAGAAGAAGAAGAGGATTGGGCCTGAACCTGAGCTTGGGCTTGTCCTTTTAAGTCTGCCCCAATGAAGATTTTGGGTTATTAAAAAAAGAAACAGATAAGGAGTTGGGTCCTTTTTTCATAACCCTTCGTTTGGTGTGGCCTGTCCGAGGCCCAAATCTATCCGAAGTCATATTTGGCTTAGGCTTAATAAGTCCGTGACTAACAGGCCCATGATGTCTTAAGGCCTTGCCCTTAGCCTGGCTTACCACCTTACGGCCCATATCAACCTTAGCCCAATCGGAGTTGCGGCCAATCCCAATCTCTTCACCAACCCTTAGAGATAAGGATAAAGAAGAATCTGGATGGGAGCCTGTACGACCGCCACGTGCAGCTTTCTGTTTGTCAGCACCAATGCGCATAACCGGCGCGTGTTTGCCACTTGATCATCCTCCCACAAACTTCATCGCTCTTTGTATTTCTCTGTCCTTCAGCCATTGCCGGATCTGCAACAACCCATCTTCCCCTTTGCTGAGAAGCATGTTCCATTCTTCCTTTGTCATAAGATGTGACCTGTCGCTACCTTCAAGACTCTTCGTCGAAGGAACCAACTCCGGCGAAACTTTTTCCCAAATCGTAACCTTATAACAGAAAGTGTCATCGTTAATAAACACAAACGGCGGAAAAGCTAATCCAATTCTCACTGTGATTCGGACACACTCGGCATCCCTCGTCTCGTCAGCAGCAACGTTCACGAATCCGCCAACACTAAGACAAATAAGGCGTGGCACCATAGATGAAGAGGAAGACCAAACAACCGGATCTGTTTGAGGCCTTTGTCTCTGAGAACCACACAACAACCAACACTTAAAGACCACACATCGATCCGCAAGGTTGCAGAACCCCATTGTTGCCAGCCTTCCTTCAACACCTGTTAAGCCTTTGCCGGAGAAGGGAACCTGAACAGAAGAAGTGAATCGGATAAGGGAGTAACCCCCACCCTACAGGAAGTAGACGTATTCCATGCCCGAGCTGCCCATTCTTCAATCCGATCAGACCCCCCAACTTCCTTTGTTGAAACAGCCAACCAAACAAGATGAGAGAACTGTATTTCTCTCTTCGACGGATCCCCCGTCGATGTACAGTGATGGCCCTCGATGAGGAGTTGCCGACTTCACATCCCCTCTGAGTGTAACTCTTGGAATCCTTGCAATTTCTAAAAAAGATTTCATCTTAGACGAAGAAACCACGATCGCCCTCAAATCGCCCCTAGTAGGGTGAAATCGCCCTCAAATCGCCCCTAGTAGGGTGAAATCGCCCCTAGTGATATCATTGAGAGCTTACCTTTTAGTGAGAAAACCGTGTGTCTTTTACTTATCATGTCAAATGAGGATTTGAGATTTATTAGCGGCAAAACAACATGGAAAAGGACAAGTCCTGGTTGAATCACAACAAAGAAGCACCCATACTCCAAGTTAAACATAATCCGTCTTTGAATGGTTGGAAGAGGTTTAAACACATAATGGGATATATATACATATATGTCTGATATATCCTAGTACTTATCTCGTCATTACTCTTCTATATTCATGTCTAGTTATATCTCTTTTTGCTACCCCCTAATCATAGTCTATCATGTTGTACAATGCAAAAGTGCCCTTTTATTGTCCACTTAATTGTTTGTTTGCGCACAGAACTTCCTAGCATAATTTATGTTGTTTTACAACTATCTGGGTTCCACAAACCACCCCTCCCCCCCTTCTTAAACCTTTATCTTAAATTTTATTTTATTTTATATTTTGCCTATGGCACATAGCATCATGAATGAGGCATACTATTGGGATGTGTATATTTCAGGAAGAACTTTATGATCTAATTTTAGAGACAAACAAGGAATGTGTGAAGCTTTGCAAACCTGGCGCAAGCATCAGTCAAATACACAACTACTCGGTATGTTTTAACTTTTAATGAATCCAAATTGGTTCTTTTTTTTTTTGCATCTCTTTTTGGCCATTATATTGAATTGGCTGTTGAGAAAAGATATCGGTAATGATTTCTTCTTCTTCAAATTTATTTATTTTCCCATTTCCAATTCTTTCTGTTTCATTCTCTTACCTTGCCCTTGAATCACCAACCCGGGATGACTCAGTAGTTGGCTTATTTTATTAAGACCTAAGTTATGTAAATTAAATTTTGCGCATTATTGATGGAAGTGAAATATAGATTGAATTTTGTGTTTTCTTTGGTGGAACACATTAAAAATTGGTCATATCAAGTGGGTGATCTCCACTTGTCAGACACTATACTGAGAAACATTTATAGAATGCCTAGCTATTTGATCTTATGCAAAATCTTTATTTTTTTTCTTATAACTCATAACTGACGTCACATAATTATTATATACAACACACTAATTAACAATTATTTTTTGGTGGATATTGATCTTGTGTTATCATGATTTATCTTTTTATATTTCTGGACAATATAGTCATACTAATTCCTTGGCATGGGAATTACCTGGTTGGGAAATCTTGATTTCCTTTGCTAATGGGAATATGCATTTGGTTAACTCTAAATTTTCATGTTCTAAGAAGCGGCTCGAACCATTTTAAGAAATGTATATCTGCACAGCAATGCAGATGTATTAATGTTGAGATGCTACATGGTATAGGTTGACAAGCTGCGAAAAGGATTGAAGGAGATTGGAGTATTGAAAGATGATCGCCATTTTCATTACCATCAGCTGAACCCCACTAACATAGGTTTCTCTTTACCATCTCTTAATCTTCCAGTTTGTTTCTGAGCCAATATGAGGAATAAAAAATGCAACATTACGGTAGCAATTTACTCTTAGTAAAAAAAAAATATCTCAGCATTAAGTCTTTTGTTTGATAAATAAATGATATTTGGTATTGGCTTGATGTGATTAATAACATTTGTTTTGGTTCTTTATGGCATGCAGGCCATTTTCTGGGAATGGACGTTCATGATTGTTCTACAATCTCCTGTGAACGTCCTTTGAAGCCAGGTGTTGTAAGTAGTTTTTCTGACTTGACTTTACTGTTTAAAACTCTTTTTGCCTCCCCCCTCCTCTGTGTTGGCAATTGAGAGAGAGTTTTGTTTAATTTATCTCTCCCGACTTTCTATTTTTCACTTGGTGTCTGAGTTATTGTTATTGTATAGATGATAAAATTAAGGTTTGTTAATTTTATCATGTATACTGATATTATTAGAATTCGGCAACATTTATAGTGCTATTTCTATCCAATTGATGTCTGAGAGCCAAAAATTGTCCGCACTTTTCTTTTTCTTCAGAAATCTTTCTTTCTGATTGATGCTTTGTTCTGCGTACAAGTATTGGGATCCAAAAATGGGTTTAGGATGTTGAATTTGGAACTCTAAAATATAGATGTCAAGGTGACATAATACACCTATGAATAATGTGGTGTATATTTAACGTATGAATTAAAATTTAAAAGTGCAAGCAAATCAAACTTATAATGGTAAATGTAATGCAAAACTGCGGCATAATTTCAAGAAAATCCACTACCCTGTGAGAAATCTGTTGATTCTACTATAGCAGGGCATTGGGTGTTCCAGGGGCAGTTTGGATCTGAAAGTATTCTTTGGCATGATTTACATAGAGGGACTACTTTCGTACTCGAACATTCACTCTCATGCATGGCAGACCATGCTTTTAGCATTACACCCCAATACTACATAATACTCAGTTGTATAAGTATAAAAATTTAATATTTCTACATTTGAAAAGGTTTCCTTGGGGACAGCATAAGCAACCAACTGCCGTGGGTGTTGGTAGTGTCGAGTGTGTCTGTTCAAATAAATCTGTGTCCACACACATGGACACTAACTTAAGCCACAGATTTTCCATTTGCATTTTGCTATTAATTGATTTAATGAAACTCAAAGGCAAGATTTTTGGTCACAAACCATAGTATTCGAATGCTTTTTTAAAAGTATTGACAGACTAATTTATGCATATGCTTTTGTATTTATATTTATACTAGGAGCCAAAGGAAAGAAGCAAATTAAACATAAAAAGTATACATTTCTTTAGAATACATCCTTTCTAAAACCCTGTTTTCAGTAGCATTAAGAAGGTTTTCTTTGGGGGACACATTAGTAGCCAAATTTGATTTTCTCGATTAAGATGTGCACATAGATCAATCTGTGTACTGTCTGGACATATAGAGACTACTTTTGGCTATGTTGGGCCTTGCATCTATCTAACACAAGTGTTCTTTATTTTCTTTACTATTTTCCTGCTTTTGGTGCATATAGAATTTTTTTTTTTGTTACATTATTATTATTATTATTATTTTACTTTTATTACTGACTCTTTTGCAAAAATAAATTTGTGCACAGGTGATAACAATTGAACCAGGAGTTTACATCCCATCTTCTTTCGATGGTCCAGAGAGGTATTTGTGGTGGTTCCTCATATTTTTATATTATTAACTTGCAAAATTGCAAATCAAACATTGCCACCAGATAGAACCTTGGCACAGCTTATCTCACTGCCCTATCGGACAAAAGTGTTGGTCCTGGCCAAATACAGAGTCCCATCATAGAACCACCTACACAATTGGACGGTATATTTTAACTTGTTGCATTTAATGCTCTAACAAATTAAGGTTAGGTCTCAAATGGGAAAATGCAAAATTTACAATCATTCACAAGCACACAACAAATATGTGGTTCGGCTTAAAGCCCACATAAGAATAGAAAATGGACATTCCTTAAATTTCAAACTCCAATCCTATTTTACAACAATGAGTTTTCTCTCAAAGCTCCCAAAGTTGGCCTTTTGACATTTTTGTCAGTATTTTTTTTTTTTTTGAAAGATCAAGCAAATGCACACACACCCACAATATTACTCCTAGCAGGGCTAAAACACTCAACTTCCCCTATTCGTATTAGGGTGTCAGGTCCAATTACAGGAGGATGCTCATTTGAGAAATTCAAAACCATAGAATTTGGTTGGCCCATAAATATTGGTCAGGTCACCCAATGAAGCAGATTAAAAACTTACTAGAGGACACACAAGAAACTTCTAGCTTGGACCACCAAATTTTGTTTGTTAGCACCAGTCAAATTCTTTTTCCAGGTTCTTGTCTGTGCATAAAACCCTTAAAACCTATTTGGCAGTCCAGCTTTGAACAACAAGCCTGGTAACTGGATCCTGAATTTTAAAAAGTCCCAAGAATAGTTTTCAGTTAGTCACGAGTTTTAGTAAATTTGTTGGGAGTATTAGATCTTCCAAACCAAGACTCATCTTTATGACACTTTTTTATTTCCAAAGAAAATTAGATCATTAAATTAGAGGGAGTTTTCTCCCCCCCATTTTGGTAATTAATTTTCAAGAGGGTTTCCATATGATTCAACAATAGAAAAATATACTTTCTACCGATACTCCGAGGATAAAGGTACATATTTCATCTTCTTTACTATATTTAAATTTTTACACCCCTCAACAATTCCAGACTAACAATAAAAAGATTTTAACTTTATGAAAATTTCTTCGAGTTAATTTCCTCTTTTGAATTATTATTCTCTGTGCCACGATTCTGCTACATCTCCTTGTGTGGGTATGGTGACAGTAAAGCATCTGATTATATTGAGGATACTTATTGCAGGTATCGAGGCATTGGGATAAGGATTGAGGATGAAGTTCTTATAACGGAATCGGGTTATGAGGTATATCTGAAAACTGAATTCATATGTTCCTGTTATAGCGTGACAAATAAAGAAGACAAGATTACCAAAGGGCCTTTGGCCCAATGGTATAACCTCCCTATCCTCAAAGAGGAGGGGAGGGGTTTGAGCTCGGGTGTCCAGTTCCTTTGAGCCTTCCAGGGCTAAACAATATGAGTCTCGGTCATTACTATTGGGTCTTAGATGACAAATCAAGGTATGAGAGTGAGAGTGAAAGTGGTAATGAGACTGAGAACGTTAATTCTATAAAAAACCTCAAGAGGATCCCTATAGAGGGCCTATATTTGAACTTGTATTAGATACATAAATTAAAAATTATCTGAACGAATGCAGAAATATGAAAGCAATTAATGGTGTGTACACATGCAAATCATATAATTAGATATAAGAATGCATTGCTGGAATTATAGACAATCATGAAATAATGAAAGATGAAAATGGGACAAAGTAACTATAATAAAAGAATACAACTCAAACTAGATATTGCCTGGTGGTTAGATTTCAGTATGGACTATATGCAGTTTTGTCGTTCCAACTCTCTTGCACTTCCATTTTACTCTGAAGATGCTTCTGCAAGACTCTGACTGAAGGTATAGCCTCAGTGGATACTCAGAGGGGAATCCCTTCCATTCATGCTCCAACACAGCATGACCAAGTGTGTGTATCAATGTTTAGGCAAATTAGGTTGCCTAGGTTTGGTCTCTTTCTCTTAGGCTTATAACTCTTATAACGGCTTCAAACATTTGCTCTTTCTTTACGTATCTTCATATTACACCATAATGTTTCTTCAAATGTTTACAAATAATATAAAAAAATACAATATCAAGCATTTTTAAAAACATTATAACTGGTTAAATTACAGAAACGTGAGAGTTGAATTGGTTGTTCTTCCTAATAACAGGAATCATGTTTTTAACAGTACAGTTATTTCTCGTCACAACTGTTTGGCTTTATGGTAGGTTTTTTCTTTTTGGCCATGTATATAGGTCTAAATTTCTAATGATCTATCTGCTCCTACAAACAGGTCCTTACTGGGTCGATACCGAAAGAAGTTAAACATATTGAGTCCTTGATAAACAACTACAGCCATGGAATGGGGACTGAGACTCAAAATATCATGAGAGCTGCATCCAGTTAGTGATCCCCTCGGAATTCTCAAGATTCAAGAAATTGATTAATTGAATGAGAAAACTGAGATGATTTTGTGTATCTTCATTCTATTTCAGGAAGCACCTCATTTTTCATCCTGTTTTTGGTGTTTTTCTGCATTGATTGTACGTCATATAAGATCAGTCCGTATCCTAGTTCTTGTATAACAGAAATTTTGAATATCCACCATTATGGCCATTTGTTTTTTTCATTTCCATTGCTTCATTTGTTCTGTGATAGCTTTGATAAACAGTGAATGTGAAGAAAATGGATAAGGGCCTGTTTGCTAAGTGGTGGTGTTTCGTGTTGCGGTTGGTCACATGTAGCGAAGCAAAACCACGCAACACATTTGATAACCGGTTGTTGCCATTTGAATATTATCCAATTCGTTGCCGAAAAGAGGCCCAAATAAAAAAACACCAATACCAAATTGATGTTTCCCAATGTTTTTGCATTGTAGCACAAATACTTAGCAGTGAACAATACCAAAAAAACACTGTATCGGGCCCTTTTAACAAGTCATTTTATTACTCAATCATGCAACACTATTTTACCGAACATGTTTTATATCTTTTTGCATCCGAAAAGCTTGTAGTAAATTTTATATTACCAAACATACTTTCAATCACAAATGAACAAAAATCACAACAAAATCGTTGTTTTTGTTTTGAATGAAAATGGAAACACAAAACATGCGGTTGCCAAACGAGACCTAGGGTTTAGTTATTTGTTGTTGCCATCCATTTCTTGCAGTCTGTAAATGTCTAAGCTGCTTCATTATTAGCTGCCTCATTATCATTTTATTAACGTACTGTATGGTAGCTACCACTACTAATTTTGTTAGTGAGAAACTAGAAACACTCTCTGGATCATTATCCATTGTGGTCCAGATATGTATCTAGGTCAAGTGCACCAACTCTACACAGTCTTATATCCTTCATGTCACAATAAAACAACTTTATCATTGTGCTAAGTTACACAATCATTCTTAGTGGGTGTCGCTTTCATGCTCCGCGCGTACTCTCGCTCAATTTCTCACTACTTATGACTTAATTCTGTCGTTCTCATGTTCCCGCTCTCAAATTCGCTCTCGTTCCGCTTTATATGACTTAGGTCCATCCTTTTTATATACATGTGTGTGTGTTAGACATCATTTTAGTCCTAGGGTTGCTCCTTTGGGTGATGGTCTCACATCAGCCTGAAGCATTGAAGTCACATACGTTCACGTTTCAACCTTTAGCATTTTTGTGGCAAAAAGCATTTAAGACCTAGAATGAATGGATTTGAACTGTCAAGCTACCAAAGTCCAATAACATTGGGAACAGTTGTTAGCCTAACCAGTACCATTTGTCACTACCATTCAACTTTAAAAGCTCTGTGGACAGGTTGGTTTTGTTATAAAGAGGTCGTTGTGTGGTGCATTAATGTTTTTTATCCTATATTTACTAGGTAGATCGCGTACAAGTTACCTGGTATTTAGAGTTTGAAAGTCGGATATATAACTAATCATTTTTTATATATAGAAAAATAATAATAAATTACATTTCGAGTGTGAAATAGTTTGATCCTAGAAGATATTATATGTCTAATTTCTTACATTGATCTAATGATGGAGAAATTATTAGATAGTCTCAGATGGAAGACACTTGAGATATGATTCAATTCAAACTTTTTGATTAAAAAAATCTTAAACATTAATTTTAATTAAATTGAAGATGATTTCACATTATAAGAATTTATATTAATAAAGCTTACACATTTTTTATTTAGATTGTCTGAAATCATCTAAAATTTTCTTTTCGCTTGTCCATTTACTTAAAAACTTAAACTGTTGGATAGTACTGTATACCTACCCATTTATACCCATGTTACTTTCTATAGATCCGATGTGGGATAAGTCTCCCCTTATAACATTCTCCTCCACCCGAATCCAACGCTCTCGTTGCGGTCGAATCACTTTGTGTTGTTCGGGGTGAAAACCCGGACACCCTCCGGCGTGATATTGGATCAATGACTGAATCTGATTCTAATACCAATTGAAACGAATAAGCACTTACCCATTTATTAAAAACTTAAACTATTGAATAATATTACATATCCGTTCATTTATATCCATATTAATTTGTGTCCATATGCAGGTCTCTCTCTTGTAATACTTGTTTGTTATAACCCTTTGTGGTTCCATTTGTTGTTTTTTTGTTAAAGTTTGTTCATTTATATCCATATTAATTCCTATCCATGTGCATTTTTTGTTAAAGTTCGATTTGTTGTTAGTTTCATGAATTCATTGTTTAGGGATTGTAGGTAGGGTTTCAACTACCAGACTAATTTTGCCTTGCATTCACTGCACACGTCACCTCACTAAATAGATTAAACTCCCAACTACACCAGTATTCGTGTCGCGTGCTTATTGGCTAATCTTTCCACCGCTGTTTCAGCTTCAGTGTGGCACCTTGGCTTTAAATGTTCCAACCGTTCTACTATTACTCATGTTCCGGATGCCCCAATATACCCCCAATATTAATCTCAATTACAGTTTTGCCTCTCATTGTCCACTTACCATTATGCCCCCTTACTTTATCCAAAATATATATATATATATATATATATATAATATTTTGTCTCCTTAACCCATATCTATGCGCCACAAGACCTCAACAATTTTACCTTCTGCATAAACTTCACATTATTTAAATAATAAATTACTTTAAGATGCTTAAGCAATAGTTTTACATCTTGTAAGCTATTAATTGTGTTACAGTACATGACACAATTACTGAATTCCAACCCGCAAAAACGATCACAATTACTGAATTCTAACACCACAAAAATGATACATAAAGAAAAATTCCCCATTGCTGACATTAGAAAATAAATAAGAACAGATAAATTACTTATATTGAGGTGGATAAAATTAATGACAAATGTAGCATTATAATTCAACCATATCACAAAACCTAAGTTATAACATACCCATAAAGAGGTAAGTATTATTCTTTATAACTTTTACCATGAGATTGTGATTAGATTAAAAAATATAGAGTTCCGAAATCAACATTGATTTTTATCTTCGGTCTTTGGGGAGTAGACATTGGGTGCGTGGTATACGAGAATATACTCATTTAATGACAATGCACCGTTTAGAAGAAAGTTGGTTCACCAACTTCTAAAATTGTTTGGGTGGAACAAAAGATGTATCCATGGATTTGTTTGTTTGAATTTTCAAAGAAAAAAAAAAATCCAGCTTGTGCCATTTTTGCAGTTTACTACAATTTTAAGGGCAAATGTATAGCTGCACAACTATATAATTAAACACCACCTTTCGCTTTCCATCCTACTACTCCCATTCCCATTCCCATTCCCATTCCCATCCATCAAAACACAGATCAAAATTAAGAGCAAATTCTCAGGAACCAAACAAAGGAAAAAGAAAAAATGTCTCTGGTCACAGAAGAGATCCGAGCCAAAGCAGAGATGTATCGTGGAAATGACATCTGCCAAGAGAAGGCAAAGTTTCTGCTCAATGAAATTTGCCTCCCCGCTGGCCTCCTGCCCCTGCAAGACATAGAAGAGAGTGGTTACGTGGAAGAGACCGGCTTTGTTTGGATCAAACAGAAGAAGAAAGTGGAGCACAAGTTCGAGAAAATAGGCAAGCTTGTGAGCTACGCCCCTGAAATCACTGCCTATGTTGAGAAACACAAGTTCAAGAAGGTCACTGGTGTCAAGACCAAGGAGCTACTGATGTGGATCACACTCAGTGACATCTATGTTGACGACCCGGCCACCGGGAAGATCACCTTCCAGACTCCGGCGGGGCTGTTCCGGACCTTTCCGCTGTCGGCTTTCGAGATCGAGGAAGGGAAGGAAGGAAAGGAGGGGAAGGGAGGGAAGGGAGGGAAGGGGGGGAAGGAAATCAAGGGAGTGAATGGTGGAGTGGTGAGTGAAGTGAAGGAGGTGTAAATGTAACACCAACTATGATCAAAGAGATCGATTAGCCTGAGTACTCAAAAATAGTGGTTAAGTGTCCATGTTTATGTATTTTGATGCTGATGTTTTCTACTGTTGGAGTTTATGATAATAAAAGTTAATATTTATATATTAGAAATTTGCTATGAATTATAGTTTAATTTACATCATTATCGTCATCTTTGTCTTAGTTTAATTTATATCATTAGCGTCATCTTTGCCTTTTGTGGATGTGGTTTATGCCACGTCATCAAGGGTCAAGTCAAGTTGAACCCATATCAGTATTAACTTGCCGATGAAATCCTAACCCAACAAAAGTTGATCGATGGACCTTGAACCTCAATCCAGCCACATCACAAACAGTCGAGCCACAAACAGTTGATTTATAGGCTTTGAACTTTGATATGACCCAACTATGAACTGTCAATCGACGGACCTTGAACCTCGATCCGACTAAGTCACAAACAGTTGATCGATCGACAGGCCTTGAATCTTGATTCGACTCGACCATAAACAGTCTACTGACGAGTCTTGAATCTACCAAGTTACAAAAAAAAAAAAAAGGAAAAAAAAAACCCAACCTGTGGCATTTTTGCAGTTTCCTACAACTTTAAGGGCAAATGTATAGCTTCATAACTATATAATTAAACACTACCTTTGGCTTTCCATCCTACTACTCCCAATCCCATCCATCAAAACACAGATCAAAAGAGCAAATTCTCAGAAACCAAACAAAGGAAAAAGAAAAAATGTCTCTGGTCACAGAAGAGATCCGAGCCAAAGCAGAGGTCTACCGTGGAAATGATATCTGCCAAGAGAGGGCAAAGTTTATGCTCAAAGAAATTTGCCTCCCCAATGGCCTCCTGCCCCTGCAAGACATGGAAGAGAGTGGTTACGTAGAAGAGACCGGCTTTGTTTGGCTCAAACAGAAGAAGAAAGTGGAGCACAAGTTCGAGAAAATAGGCAAGCTTGTGAGCTACGCCCCTGAAATCACTGCCTATGTTGAGAAAAACAAGTTCAAGAAGGTCACTGGTGTCAAGACCAAGGAGCTCCTGATGTGGATCACACTCAGTGACATCTATGTTGATGACCCGCCCACCGGAAAGATCACCTTCCAGACTCCGGCGGGGCTGTTCCGGACCTTTCCGGTGTCGGCTTTCCAGATCGAGGAAGGAAAGGAGGGGAAGGGAGGGAAGGAAGTGAAGGAGGGGAAGGAAATCAATGGAGTGAATGGTGGAGTGGTGAGTGAAGTGAAGGAGGTGTAAATGTAACAACAGCTCTATCAAAGAGTGGTTAGTGTCCCTGTTTATGTATTTTGATGCTCATGTTTTCTACTGTTGGAGTTTATGGTAATAAAAGTTAATTTACATTTTCATAAAGGTGTAAGTTTATATATATATATTCCAGAAAGATGTTATGAATTATGGTTTAATTTACATCATTAGTGTCATATTTGCCTTTCATTTCCATGAAGAATTTATATATGATAAAGTAAGTTCTTAAAAGCAACTTGTGAAGGAAGCAGATGTTGTTTGTCTTTTTAACATTCTCTTTTCTTGACATGATTTTTCATAAGATATTAATTAAAGATTTTTCTTAAAGGTAACTTATGATCGAGTGGAGGTTTGTCTTTATTTGATTCTCACGAATCTTCCTAAGATCTTTCAAAACTTAGCATTGTCGCTTCACATTCGGGATTTAGGGGACAGCTCATCTACTTATCCAGCGACCCATCTAATATAGGTGTAATTAGTGAGTACTTGCTCATGTATTCAAAAAATTAAATTATTAAGTTGTATTATATATTCACACATTTAAATTTATGTCATTTTTTATTTAGATTCGATGTGAGACAAGTCTCTCATTATAATATTCTCCCTCAATCGAACCAACGCAATGTCCTCGTTGCGGTCGAACTGCCTTGTCTACTCGAGGTGAAGACCCGAACACTTTTCGGATCGGGCGTTTGGCGTGACACCGGATCAAGAACTGAGTCTGGCTCTGATATCAACGGTAACGGATGGACGTTTACCTATTTACCCTAAAGCTCAAGTTGTTAGGTAATATTGCATATCCACCCATTTATACTGTCATTTCCTATCAGGATCCGATGTAGGATAAATTTCCCCTCATAACAATAGGAGTACAGGACTAGTGGGGCAAATGCCTACTGAATTTATGACACAACCTAAAAGTTCATTTTCTTATCTAATGTTTAAGATAATGAGTTCCTAATAACTTTTTAAATATTCAAATTTAAGATATTATTGAGTACTTAAACGTAGCATCGTCGCTTCACATTCGAGATTTAGGACAGAACCTAAAAGCTCATCTCCTTATCCAGGACGAATTCAATATAGGACCAATGGGGCAGATGCCCTATTGAATTTTTTATATTTTTATTTTATACCTTATTTTAAAAAAAATTTATGAAAATGCTCTCACTAAAATTATGTCCCCATTGAATTTTTTTTATATTTTCATTTTAAATTTTAGTTTTTTTAGAATTTATGAAGATGCCCCCGCTAAAATTACAATTCGTCCCATTGGATTTTTTTTTTTTTTTTTTTGCATTTTATACTTCAAATTTTTTAGAATTTATGAAGATGATCTCACTAAAATTACAATTCGCAACCACATTTTTTTTTTTTTTTTTTTTTTATGTATTTTATACTTTAATTTTTTAAAAATTTATGGAAAAAACCCCATTGAAATTATAAAAATGGATCCAGTATATAAGTTTGCCCCCACAAATTAAAAAGTTGCCCCCCACCCCTCACAAAATTTTATGAATCCGTCATTATCCTTAGCTAATGGTTAAGATTATGAGTTCCATCCTGATAACTTTTTAAATATTCAAATTTAGGACATTATTGAGTACTCAAAATAGTGGTTTCATGTTGATGTACTTTGATACTCTTATGTTTTTGTTTTTTATACCAATAGAGTTTATGGTAATAACAAAAGGTAATTCAATTTTTCATAAAAGTGTTAGTGTATATATATATTTGAGAAAGATACATAAATTATAGCTAAATTTATATCATTATTATCGCCTTTACCTTCATTCCATATACATAAAGTATATTTAAAGTTATTTCTTAAAAGCGACTTATGAAGGAATGGAGATTTGTCTTCCTTAGACACGAATTTTTCACAATTTTTTTTTTATTAAAGTTATTTTTTAAAATTAACTTATGAAGGAGCATAGGTTTGACTTTCTCCCTTTGATTAAAGTTATTTCTTTTAAATAACTTATCAAGGAATTTGAGGTTTCACTTTATTCTCTTCTCTTGACCTTACTTTTTACCAGATTTTTCAAACTTAACATTGAGACAACCTAAAAGTTTGCTTCGTGAGTTCGTGATAACTTCTAAATATCCAAATTGAAGACATTGAAATGTTTACTAATTAAATAACTTTTCGTCCATTGATTGTTTTATAAAGTAGACTTCTTTGAGTCCATGAACTACTCAACTTGATCGAGGAGATTACTTGAAAACTTTGAGGAGATTACTGGATTGAAATGACTGTTTTAACCAACGACACAAGTTCTTCAATTGCAAGAGTTGGGTATGTTAGGATTTTCCTTCTTCATGCACGGTTATTATATATATATCTATATATATATATATATATATTTCTCATTTGACTACACTTACTCTCACAACCATAATTTTATATGGACCATACCAAGAGTTTCGGACACTATTTAGGGCATGTTTGGCTGGTGAAATTTTTGAAAACGAATTTTTAAAAAGTCTCGTAGGTTTAGAAACTCAATTAATCAAAGCCGATAAACATGCTTTTTGATCGACTTTCCAAGCTGCACACTTTTTAAAGTAATAAATATAAAATTTCTATATTATCTATTATTTAAACTATTTCTATTTTCTGAATTCCATTGCAAACTTTTCCCTTTCTTTGTTCATTCTCTACCCAAAAAGAAAATTTTAAAACAATATTGAGCAAAATTTCACTTATTTTATTGAAAAAAATATTGTTAAAAAACGATTCAACAAAGAAAGAACGAAGAAACATGGTCAACTTCCCAAGCTGCACACTTTTTAAAGTAATAAATATAAAATTTCTATATTATCCATTATTTAACCTATTTCTATTTTCTGAATTCCACTGCAAACTTTTCTCTTTCTTTGTTCGTTCTCTACCCAAAAAGAAAATTTTAAAATAATATTGAGCAAAATTTCACTTATTTTTATTGAAAAAAATATTGTTAAAAAACGATTCAACAAAGAAAGAACGAAGACATTGAGGAGTTGCAGATAAAAAAACTACGATTAACTCACATTTGACTTCAAAGACTAAGGGGCAGAAGAGTTACAAGATTTATGAAACTCTAATCCAAAATTCAACCCTATGTAAAATTCTAAACAACTTTTCTTTATATATATATATATGTGGATAAAGTACAAGGACTTCTCCTATAATTTGCCATAATTACAGGAATCTCCTTAATAATTTGAGTAATTACTCATACCTCCTCTAAAAATGAACTATCTACATGGACCACCCTTCTTACTAATAACCCTGTCAAATGCACTAAGGAACAAAGGAGTCACAAGATTTATTTCTTTCTTTTTTGCCCATTTGACCTCACTTATTATCACAATCATAATTTTAAATGATCATAGGAAGGTGTCCTGACACTTTTTAATATTACTTTGAGAATGCAACATATATAACATTCATTATTTTAAGAATGTGACACACATTACTTCAGAAATATAAAACCTTTTATTTCGAACAATAAAACACTTGTTGCTTAAAGAATACAATTCTGAAATAAAACATGTCACGTTTCCTAAACTAGCAAGTGTATTGTATTCTCCAAGTGATCACTGACTGAGTGAGAAGTACAAATCAAGAGAAGGCGTGCAAGACAGAATTTGCTTTTCACAGGTTTCGTAGCCATTGCAATTTGGCATTATAAGCATCACACTAGACCCACAATAATTGGGTAACGTCTCACACCCATATAAATTGTGACCCATGTGGCTGTCACACCATCATAATTTGAAATCGTAAACCTCACTTGGGACCTTTAATGATTGATGATGATCACATGACAAATTGACAAGTCTCTGGCCTAACCCAAAATGAAATATGACCATTATTTTTCATAAAAAGTCGCCAAAGAGTCGGTGGGCTTTTAGTAAATAGTAAATACTAATAGTAATAGCCTAGGTTAAATACTCTTCAAACCAGCTTATTACTTTCCATCTAGGAAAGTTACACAAGATCCAAGATCCACAACCCAAAACTCCGACGATATGAATGTTAATATATATATTTTTTAAATATCATCCATTGCGAACTCGGTTTGGTTAACATGAAGTAACTAAAATTTAGAAAGGAAAATAAATGAAAAATATTTAAAATCTGAAGGAATTTGGTTAGATAAAAAATGAAAATTTTCGAAAAAGTATGTTCTTGCTTGAATCATTTTTTGAGTTACAAAAAATAAAAAAACTCAATTTGTGTTTACTTGAAAGTGCTTTTGAAAAAGAGTTTACAAGTAAAAAGTGTTCTCTGAGTTTTAGGAAGAGTTTTCAACGTTGAGAAAATAAAGCTACACAATCCACTTAAAAACTTACACTACTTTTACCGAGGTTTAAAACATTTACTAACCTCTTACACAGCCGAGTTAAAAACTTAGGGAACGATTTTCACGATTTCTCATTAAAGTTGTCCCTCTCTATTTAATTTTCCAATCATGTCACTTATTAATTGGTGATTTTATGTATTCGAATTGTTTATAAATTTTTAATCAATTTGTATAGGATAATAATTTAGACGACACGCTAAAGGAAATTGATCTCTTCAACCTAATTTGGTTATGTATATCTTAAATATAAACAATTTAAAAAATAGATATAAACAGATCTGGCTATATTCCGTTTTAAACATTCTAAGTGGAATATATACTGATAATTTTGTTTATTTATTTCATTTCACATCCTTTCATTTTCATTTTTACTTTCTGTCATAAATTTTGATTTAATTTGATACTATATTTTTCTTCTTATATTCCTTTCCAAAACCTCTCTTATCTTCCCTCCTTGAACTCGTCAATCATATTATTGAGGGTTTTATTATTTACTGGCGTTTGTACATACCCTCTTCCTTGTTACACTCACACATTCTGAAACTCTCTCACGCTATCTTCTGAAACAGTCTTTTTTTGGGACTTCTCACACCCTCTTTTTAAAACATCTCATCCTTACTTTCGATAGCCAAACTACCATTGGTGCTCGCCAAATCTAAAATCGACTTGAATTAGACGACTGCTGGAAGGCAAAGATGACCCCTTCCTTCATGTTCTTCAACGCCTCATTAAAGAGTACTTTCAACACTATAAGTAGAATGGATGAAGAGAGTAAAACAGAGGACTTTCAACACTATAAGTAGAATGGATGAAAAGAGTAAAACAAATTACACGAGCATTCATATATTCTAAGAGACTTAGAAAATAAAAGTAAAGGGAACTGAAGCCAAGCGTAGACTTTTATTTCATAAATAAAATTCCCATACATAGTACAAGAATTATAAATTTAACATTAGGCTACTCCTATGAACAGAAGTAAAGTACAAGTAAACGACTGTATGAAAATTGCGGAGAAAGAAAAATCCTAAGCAAGTGTAATACAATGAAATAAAAATACTTAAGTAAATTGTAAGAATGCGTTGTGTGGTCGGGATTTTTTTTAGTTCAAATATTATTTGAATTATAAAACATACTTTTGCCTTAATCTTATCCCATGTCTTAACCTTATCCAAATACCAATGTTTTGAAATAAAACAAACGTGACTTTAGACTCTAATTTTTAAATAAGAGTCCTATTTAATAACACGGTATATATTTTTTCCTCCAATCAAATAACACCATGTGTCTAAATAAAAAAATTAAATTTAGGATGCAAACAACTTGATACCGTGTTATATATAGGTATGATATACTTAATGTACATCTATATGCATTACAATCAACGGTTAATATTTAGTTTTCAAAATTATCTATCTAAATATCTACATATTTACGGTTTTTATTCTTCTACAATCTTCACCCATCTATTAATTTTTACAAATTCTTTAATATTCTAAAATCCTTCATTTCTCAACTACAATCCACATATTTTCAATCTTTTATATTATTCAAAATAAAAATAAAAATATTTATTTTTTAAAATTATCTATCAATAGATCTACTCATTTACAGAGTCTTTACTCTTCTACAATCTTCACCCATCTATTAATTTTTACAAATTCTTTAATATTCTAAAATCCTTCATTTCTTAACTACTATCCACATATTTTCAATCTTTTATATTATTGAAATAAAAACAATTTTTTTTCTCCAATCTATCAATTTCTACAAATTCTTTAATATTCTAAAATTCTTCATTTCTCAACTACTATCCACATATTTTCAATCTTTTATATTGTTGAAATAAAAATAAAATTTTCTACTTTTTAAAATTATCTATCTAATTATCTACATATCTACAAAGTCTTTACATTTCTACAATCTTTTCCCATCTATCAATATTTACATATTCTTTAATATTCTAAAATTCTTCATTTCTCAACTACTATCCACACATTTTTAAATTAGTGGGCTCTCAAACATGAATACAACCAACAGCCAACTAAAAACAATTAAAAGAAAAAATTAAATACAAGAAACAGATAGCAATTAAATGCTCACAAAAGAACCAACAGAGATAGATGAGACCATCATGCTACAACATAACTCCACTGACAAACAGTAAAATAGACCATACCAACTGTTCACTACTAAACAACAGAGAGATCATAAGAACAAAACTGATTATTCAATAGGAACAAAACTGATTATCCTCATAGTTATGCAAGACACATTGATCTTTAACATATCCAGGTTTCAAATAAAGTATTTTTAGCCACTGTAACAGCATTTCCCTTCTCTTCTCTTACCTTCACCCAAATTTGTGTATGGATTGGTGATACTTTGGGCTCCCTATGCCAATCCAAGCTTGACTATGACTTTCTTAGTTGGTTAAACTTTTTTTTTTTTTTTTAGGAAAAAAATATTATATTAGAAGTTAAAGTTAGAGATACGAAGGTTTAAAGTTGAGTTTCCAAGAACAAGGAGCAACTCAACCGTTTGGCTATGAAATAGTTAAACTTCAATAATTCTCTTAATAAGATAAATTTATAGCTGTTTATGGTTTCTTAGCTGGCTTTCGTAAATTTGTTAGTTTATGTATTCTCTCAGATTAGATGTTTGTTAGGTTCTTCCAAGTGTATTCAAGAAGTTTATTCCATATATCAATTTGATTTTGCTTCAAATTAAAAACAATCTTTAAAAAAACTCATAGAAATTCCAGATTGTTGGGTTATAATGACTGCACAACTAGCATATAATTCCAAATTCCCTATTCAAGGTAACATAGATATTCCATTGCCACCACAAGTTAAGACCTATATATAAAAAACTAGGAATTTTTAAAGACCAATCATTCAATGTCAACGACATAAATATTCAATTGCCACAAGTTTAAGACTTAAGCCCTCTATCTAAAATAAAAATAAAAATAAAAGTAGATTTTTTATTTTTATTTTTTAATTTTTGTCCTGATTAGTAATTAGTTGTAGGAGGAGGGAATCGAACCTAAGATCAATAAAGTGGGGGGCATTTTAGGCCTGATCCTTTTACCACTCGGACTTTATACCTAATTAATAAAAGGGTCAGACTTAAAGTGTCCCTCACCCTATTGATCCTAGGTTCGATTTTCACCTCACACAACTAATTACTAACCATTGTCAAGATAAAAAAAAGAAAAAGAAAAAGAATTTTCACATGATCCTAGTTAGTTAAAGTATTTGCGGGCAAAAAAAAAATACAAGAAAATGGAAAATGACCAAAATTAAGCTCACACATTTTTTCAGTGTAATGTGACAAGTTTGTGAACACACTCATTCCCAATTAAAATTAAGCCAATGACAGATACTCGCGAGCATTACTGCCTATGTTGCCTTTCAGCAAAAGTTTATGCTGGGACATTATGTTTTTACATTTTTCATAAACCAATATAGTCAAGGGCGGATCAGGGGTGGGCTTGAGCCCACCCAAACTATACTAATTTAGCCCAGCTCAAAAAAAAAATTAATAGTAGTAGCCCACCCCAAAATTAGCCCACCCATCAAGCCCAAGTCAATTCAGCCACCATACTAAAATAAAGGCCCAAGCCGAATAAGTCTCCATCTCTATTCTCGTTCTCAGCCCTGAACTTGCCTCTCTCTCTCTCTCTCTCTCTGCAACTGCAAACTACAAAATCTACAAGAATCAGGAGTTCAAAACCCATATATTTCAGTTTATCTATATGTCTGCAAGAATCAAAAGTTCAAAACCTATTACCTATATCAAAACCCATATCGGAAGATCATTTCAGATTGTTCAAAAAATCAAAACCCGTATCTTTCAGTTTGCATCGCCCGCTGTTCCAGTTCGGGTTCGCCGTTCGCAAGCTTCAGCCGCTGTCTCTCAACTCTCAAGCTTGCCCCCCTCTCTCTCTGCAACTGCTAACTTGTATGTATGGGTTTTGTTTTAATTTTTTTCTTCTAAATCAACTAATCAAGCTCTGTAATTCTTGTTTTGCAAACTAAATCCTATTTGGTGAAATTTTTTATGTAATTTTTTATTATTTTATGAATTTTAGTTATAAATATTTGTGAAGATAATGACTGAAACAGCACCCCCCTTTGCAGGATTTGAAAGACTAATTGGTAAATTTGGGTTGAACTTGAGTCTTGAACAAGCTGAAGGCCCTTAGCGTGGATTATAATTTTTACAATTACAGCATCCTACGGTCCTACCATCTTTTAGAGTGCTTTCATCACTTCAGACTAAGTATAAAGCACAACAAATTGGATCAATTGATATTCAAGGTAAGTCATTTCTTCAATTATTCAATATATATATATATATTTATTCCAGATTTTTTCATGCTAATAATAAATTGGATGTTAACAACATAAAGCATAAATCTGTCAATTAATATGGGCACCCAATTGTATATGAAACAAAGTACAATATAAAGTAACAAAATTTGTTAATATATAAACAACAAAATTACTTAATATAGGGTAAAGCTCTAAAGTTACTTCTTGAAAATTAAAATATTTATAAAAAGCATGCTTTTGAGTGAATTCGATAGTGTTGGAAGGGGCTTGCCATGAACTACCTCACACTCTTCTTCCACTCGTAGATTCTCAAATAGGATTAGTAAATTGGTTAAAAGAAGAGATAGGATACTGAGTGGTGAATTGGTCAGAAATAAATTGGTAATTTTTTTTTATTAATTACCCAAATAGGATTTTCTATGCCTTAATCAGTCAATTGTCTAAAGAAACATTGTTAATTAACTAAAATTGAATTAAACAACAGTTGGTTTTGGTTGATATATTTTGATTTAGGTATTTTTAATCTAACTCATTCTTTAATTTTATTAAGTTAAGAATAATAATGGCGCAACATCAACCTTCAAACAAGAAAGTGAAAAGTATGTCTATTCTCTCATTCTATCAAAAGAGGAGGCCAAATGAGTGATGATGGTCAATCGAAAAAGGATATACCTAGTGGTAGTGCATCTAGCATTGACGATGATCAATCGAAAAAGGATATAGCTAGTGATCTTGATTTGCAACCTCTTGCCCTACCTCAAGTTGTTGAACCCAATCAACTTCACTCCACTTCTATTGAAAGAGATCCAGGGTTACGTATTTAAATACGTGAATACCCGGTAAATCAAATGGATGAGGTTAGACGAGCTTCTTTTTTTTTTTTTTTTTTTTTTTTTTTTTTTTTTTTTTTTTGCTTAAAAAATTTTGTTATTAAATTTATGTTTAATATTAGCCCACCCCATTGAGAAATCCTGGATCCGCCCTTGGTTATGGTTAAGCTAAAAAAAAAAAATATTATAGTTATTTTATTTAAGTTATTTCAGATAACTCAACAAACATGGTTAAAAACAAAAAAAAAAAAGTTATTGTCAATCATTTAACATGATTATCAATTAAGCATAACTATTAGCATGGTATATCTCAACTAAATTTAGATTATTCAGGTGACAATTTTTTTTTTATTTTTGAAAAATAATATTCATGTGGCATTCATCATATAATATATGGTGAATTTTCATTGTCTTAATTTTGCAGAGATTCAATACTTATAACGGACAATTGAGGCAAGTCTCCTAAGAGAACTTTTTTCGACATCAATGGCTCAATTCCCATAACGACCCATTGCTCATAGCCTACTACTGAAAACACACACACTACATGAATTTGGCAAAGTTGAGTTTTTCTTCAGCAATCAAATCAACATTGAACCAAAAACCCACTTTGAGAACAACCCTAACTCTGTCAATCTTAGACACCCTCTTGCAGAAATGCCCAAATCCCAAGCAATTCAATCAAATTCTCTGTCAGATGATACTCACCGGATTCATCAAAGACACATATGCTTCGAGCAGACTCCTCAAGTTCTCAACTGATTCACCCTTCATTGACATTGATTACTCTCACAAAATTTTCAATCACATTGAAGACTCAAATGGGTTCATTTGGAATACCATGATGAGAGCTTATTTACAGAGGAACAATCCTCAGAAAGCTATATTTCTTTACAAATTGATGCTGGAGAACAATGTGGATCCTGACAATTATACATACCCAATTCTTGTTCAAGTTGCAGCTCTCCGATTCTCGGAATTCGAGGGCAATGAGTTGCATGATCATGTGCTGAAGATGGGTTTTGATTCAGATGTCTATGTTCAGAATACATTGATTAATATGTATGCAGTTTGTGGGAATATAAATGATGCAAGGAAGTTGTTTGATGAAAGTCCTGTGTTGGATTTGGTTTCCTGGAATTCTATGTTAGCTGGGTATGTTCAGATGGGGGATGTAGAAGAGGCAAAGTTGATATTTGATAGGATGCCTAAAAAGAATTTAATTGCTTCGAATTCTATGATTGTGTTATTTGGTCGGTCAGGCCACATGGGCGAGGCTTCTCGATTGTTTAATGCCATGGAGGAGAAAAATATGGTTACATGGACTGCATTGATTTCTTGTTATGAACAAAATGAGATGTATGAAGAGGCTCTGTTTATATTCATGCAAATGAAGGCCAATGGAGTTATGGTAGATGAGGTTGTGGTGGTCAGCCTTCTTTCTGCTTGTGCAAACTTGTCAATCATTAAGACTGGGAAATCTATTCACGGGTTAGTTCTAAGAATTGGAGTTGAATCTTATGTTAACCTTCAGAATGCTTTGATTCACATGTACTCGAATTGTGGAGATATAATGGCTGCTCAAGAATTGTTTAATATGAGTTACCACTTGGACCAGATATCTTGGAACTCTATGATCTCAGGTTACTTAAAATGTGGATCAGTTGAAAAGGCTAGGTCATTATTTGATTCCATGCCCGAGAAGGATATCGTGTCATGGTGTGCAATGATATCTGGTTATGCCCAACTTGATCAGTTCTCGGAGACTTTAGAATTGTTCCAAAAGATGCAGCTCGAAGACATTAAGCCTGATGAGATCACTTTGGTGAGTGTGATCTCAGCATGCACCCACTTGGCTGCCCTTGAGCAAGGGAAATGGATCCATGCTTATATAAGGAAGAATGGCTTAAAGGTTAATGTCATTCTTGGCACTACCCTTATAGACATGTATATGAAATGTGGGTGTGTGGAAAATGCGTTGGAAGTCTTTTATGGGATGGAGGAAAGGGGGGTTTCTTCTTGGAATGCTCTCATTGTTGGATTTGCAATGAACGGGTTGGTAGAAAGATCACTTGAGATGTTCTCAGAGATGAAGAATTCTGGTGTATTGCCTAATGAGATAACCTTTGTGGGAGTTCTCGGGGCTTGTCGGCACATGGGCTTAGTAGATGAGGGGCGTCACCACTTTGAGTCCATGATTTCAACACACATGGTTGAACCCAATGTTAAACATTATGGATGCATGGTTGATCTTCTTGGACGTGCAGGTTTGCTCAAAGAAGCAGAGGAACTAATTGACAGTATGCCTATGGCACCAGATGCTGCTACTTGGGGTGCCTTGCTCGGGGCTTGTAAGAAACACGGTGACAATGAAATGGGGGAAAGGATAGGAAGGAAGCTTGTTGAGCTTCAGCCTGACCATGATGGATTCCACGTGCTATTGTCCAATATATATGCTTCAAAAGGTAATTGGGATGATGTTCTGGAGATAAGAGAGACAATGATGCAACATAGAGTGATTAAAACCCCAGGTTGCAGCATGATTGAAGTCAATGGTGTCGTTCATGAATTCCTGGCAGGAGATAAGACACATCCCCAGATAAATGAGATTGAGGAGGTGCTGGATGAAGTGGCCAAGAGACTAAAGATGCTGGGTTATGCCCCGGACACAAATGAGGTTTTCCTTGACATCGATGAAGAGGAGAAGGAAACTAATCTCTTTAGACACAGTGAGAAGCTTGCGATTGCATTTGGGCTAATCACTACTAGTCCTCCAACACCAATAAGGATAATGAAAAACTTGCGAATATGTAATGATTGTCATGCAGCGGCAAAGCTCATCTCCCAAGCTTTTAATCGTGAGATTGTGTTGAGGGATCGACATCGATTTCACCACTTCAAGCAGGGTTTGTGTTCCTGCAAAGAGTATTGGTAGCGTAGTATGATACAGAGCAAGTTGGCTGTGTTATTGCTCCTTTTGTCAAGCTAGGTTGAGAGGGCAGCTCCATTTGCTCCTTGAGAAACTATTCTACTTGCTAGCCCCTTGTCTCTTTCTTTTGGCTTGGAATCAACAAAGGGAGATGGAAATTTAGGAAAAACAAATATGACCCTTCAAACAGAACCACATTCTAGAAGTAATTCTCTTCAACTGAGAGCTAACATTGAGCATCTTATTTGGGAGATGTTTTCAAACAAACGTTTTTCTGCTTGATGATTTGTCCATCATTACTCATTGTTTCTCAGATTGTTGGACTTGATACTTGTGCTGACACAGTGGTTGGAGATGCTATCGGAAGGGGAAACTTTGGTGGTCAATACAAAAAGATTGTCTTCAGGTAGATTTTATGACAATGTCGCCAGCTTTAGCAGATAATAGAACTCACCAACTTTAAAATATTTATTATTGTTGTTAGTGAATAAATTCATTACAAGTCAGTCATTCTCTCAACTTTGATGAATCAAACTGATTATTACTGATAGTTTCATTAAGAATCAGTTTTATTTGTTTTATGCAGGGTGATTATAGGTCCCAAAAGTTCTGGTTATGGATGGATATATCAAATGGTTCGGACAGTTCCACCGCATATCAGATAACATGCCACTACATATGCCATAAATACTGACGACACATTTCAGCCAGCACCAGAAACCTTTGATATCTTTGATGACGTTATATCTTAACGCAGAGTAGAATATCATCCATCATGGGCCTTCTTTGTTTTAGGATTTTCAGAATGGGTAGGATTCACTGAGTTCCTTCAGGGTGTGTAAGTCATCATGGCTGAAATTAATTTGCTTTTATGTTTTTTCTTCTTTTCTTCAAGGTGATATTACTTCCCTATTGGCTGCTTTGCAGGTAATATATCGATAAAAAAAAAAATCAATCATAGAACAGGCACTGGATTTAACAAACTCACAGTTCATGTTTCTAATGTGTTCTGTAGAAATTCAAGAAATCTCCTTTTGAGAAGAAGCTAGATGAGGAGCTGTCCAAGTCGTCCTAGAAACGCAAAGCCATACATTGTATTTCTAAATGTGCACTTAAAAGCTTGAATGCCCAGGGAATTCTTTAGAGGTGTAATGCTCTTGGTTACTTATTCAAATCAGTTCAGGTTCGGATCAGCACTTTCTCATATTTTCATCTATAGCTTGCTTCAATTTGCGGGGAAAAAAGAAAAAGAAAGATGCTGGGCCTAAAGCTTTGTGAATTTAACAAGTCCTGTAATTGTTTTACTTTGCAGATTGTAATCTTTACATCTATCACAATGGCTGGATTTTGTAAACTCGGATTGGCGTTGATGTTAATCATGCAAATTATTATCTGGGTGATTTTTACTACACTTTCATCGGTCTTCTAGTTATACTTTCAGACATTTGAGCATATGCATCCTAGCTTCATTCTTAAGGTTCCGCTTTTGTTGTTTGAAGCTGTAGTTTGAATTCTAAATCCTGAAGTACATTTGTGGGCTAGGAGATGGATGTAACATCAGGAGGCTTTAATGTTATTGTTGTTACATGTTTGGTTTATTTAATTTTTCTTCATTTATATATCTGATTGGAACAAGTTAAAAACTGTCTTGCCTTCGTAGACTATTCATTGCAGTAGTATGTTTCAATCATTAGTACCCTTGAAGATGGGTTGTCATCTTATACTAAAGCCTATGTACTTCACATGATTGTCCCATTTTAACATTTCAAAATCAAAAAAGCTAAGCAAATTCGTGATTGAACAAGCTGAGCCATTTGTTTTAGTGGGCCTCACCTGATTCAATGCCTGAGCTTGCACAATTACGACTGCGAGCTGAGCCATTTGATCAAGTGGAGTGGACCTCACCTGATCCAATACCTGAGTTTGTACAATCACGACTGTGCTTAGCAAAGCTCTTCAAATTTAGTTATTATTATTATTCTTTTTTTTTGCTGTTTGTACTATTTTGTACCAAACTTTCTGCTAATTGTGCTCTTTTTTCTACATTTTCTCAAAACCTTTCATTTCGATTCGTCTAAGCCCACCTCAAGTATATTCATTCACCTAAAAGACTCGATCGCAAACTACCGAAAAAACAACTAGCCAAAGAATATTTCATTCATCCTTCTAACTTTTACACACACACACACACACAGAAAGTTGGTCAATCCGTTCAGCAAAAAGAAGATAACAGGTTTTAATACAAAAACCGTATCACTTTCCTTCAGCACTTTTAAATGTAAAAACAAGTAAACATTGAATTATTGTTATATTATGCATACACATGATCGAGGATGGAGCCTCAGCTCTAAAATTAAGGCTCAGTGAACAAGTCAGTTATTTAGATTTCCAACTCCGATTAACATGTTCAATTAATCTTAATCGGACGGACGGCAAAGCAATGCAAAACATGTAAAAAAAAAAATAAATTTTTCTTTGAAATTACATTTTCAGGTTGAAAAAAGCCCGTAAAACTACTCTATACTATACTATAGTGCTTGTACTGTACAGAAGATTTTCAGCTGTGAAAGACTGGTTTCTCATTAAACGAGAATCTGAGACTTGGCGGCAACACGGGAGCATTTCTTCCGGTTAGATTTGCCACTAAGAGCACAAACACAGATCTCAAGAAGTTCATAGTCTTCCTCCCAAAATAACACAGATGCCATCTCTGGATTTTCCAAGAGCATTTTCGATGTCAGGAACCCAGCAATTGTCCATGTTTGATAAAGTCGGGCTTGCTTTCCTATAAATTTTCCATTACGGGTGTCATAATATTCAGGCCAATGATCCATCGGAAGCCTCTTTTCAGCCAAATCAACTGCCTTCCTGGCTAGTTCTGGTCTGCCCATTTTGATGCATGCCAGAGTGAACTGAAAATATACAATAAAAGAAAATTGAAAATTAGTTAATTTCAGAAAGCAAGCTAAGGTTTAACAAGGCTAAAGAACTTGCTAGTCATCCATAAAGAATATGCATGTTTCTAACTGAATATTTCATTACTACCTCTCCTAGGTCAAAATAATGCCGAGTATTTTACACTCTAATCATCAATAGTTTCCTTCTCAACCAGTTGGATATAATGGACAGTGATGTCTCATTTTTCTTTATGGACATTGAAAACAATATTCACATGCCCTTGTGGTGTTCCTCCACAATTTATATCTTCTTCCTAAGTGGGTAAAGTCCAAATAAGAGCAGTTGCCAGTATCGACAATCAAAAAGTGAGTAATCACAGCTTAGAAGATGCAGCTTATCTTGTTACTATGTGAAAAGGATAAGGTCCATTGAAAAGTTCACCATTCTAAGGTGCATCTAAGAATTCACCAGTCGTTTCACAGAAGGGAACCCAGCAAACCCTCAGCACCAAGACGTTTGGCCTACAATTGGAGGAAGATTACGGATTTCATTTATGGCAGACAATTCCAAAATCAAGTCCGACAAGCCAATTGAATTGTGGAAAACCCTGCTTCTTACTGGTTGCACCACTGTTTTGGGGGTCAAACGCAGAAAATTTATGACCTCTTTTGAAAACAGGTGGTCGATTCATTATTTCTTTTCTAACATGACCATCTCCTTCCTTCAACATTCTGTTCCTTGTTTTGATTGCATTTTCCACAGAGGAAATGAAAGAGTTAAAATGGATAGTTATACTACCGAACCAGAACATAATTAATTCATTTCAGTTCTGATAACAAAGGATCAAAGAGCAGTCAAACTCCCACATATAAGAACAACAGTGTCTTGAGCATGCATGTGCCATGGTGATTCCTGCTAATGGACCCTACAGGACTGATTCAATGGTTGTCTAGTTTATGCCAAGAAACCAACACTAGACTTGGAAATGTACTCTTTAGTCCCAATCTTAAAAAGGCGTTCAAAAGCATGCCTCATAAGTCATAACATATATAATAAAATCGAATCCAAGGTTACCTGCCAAAGAAGCGTTGGCCAAGATCCACCATTGTGATATGACCAAGGGCTGCGAGAATCAATCAAATACAATTCAGTATTCATAACAAAACCTCACTGAACCATCTATAAAGCTAGCTTTTGATTTAAATTCTACATAGGTGCACGCACGCGCGCGCGCGCGCACGTAATAGGGACAAAAACACAAACATACAGAGAGAGTTTGTTAAACTTGAATAGAAAACTCACGTATTTTTTGGGTCACTACCAGTGATTATATGCCACTCTTGAAACTCCAAGGCAGGATAACATATCTTAAGAGGCATATTCCCCACAAGGTCAGCCCATTTGGCTTCGATGAGGTTCAAAATAGCCTCATTTTGCCTTGGAGTACCCAAGGACGAAACGATGGACCAGAGATTGCCAAGTGTGAAGAACCTAAAATCCATGTGAGCTGGCTGAAGATTGCCAATAAGATAACCACCTTTCTCTGGAAACCAATCCATTAGCCAATGAGGAATTTGTTCAGGGTAGATATTGAACTTGTTTGTTGCATCTGTGGAGTATTCCTCCGTCTTATATCTGTAGATCTCATTGATTTTTTTCATATCGACCCAATAGTACTCTCTAATGTGAAATGACAATGCACTGAGTCTATTATTGATGGCCCTCACTAAATTCTTGGATCCCTCATCTACCGCAAGCATCTCACGGGAGCACCGTAGAGCTGAGTAGAATAAGGCCTGTGATATTAAAATTGTCAGACATAAGATAAACTGAGGATATATGAATTGAAGAAACTATAACATGCATTACAAAAAGTGAATAAGAGACAACATAAAAAACTATAAATGAGGAACACAAGGCATACGTATTGCTATGTCTTATCCGCCGATCTTAAGACCATTTAAATATCCTCAAAAGCAGTAAGATTAGACCAAAATTTTAAGAACTTCAAAACAAAATTCACAAACCCCATTTCTATTCTTCATCCAATCACTAGAAAGATGAAGGGATATTTGTTAGTTCATGTGATACAAGTGTATCACAAGCCAAATGTGGAATTGACCTCTCTCAGGAAAACCTTACGATTTTTTCAACTAACTAAATACATTCTGAATATAATTCAAGTTCGGAGAACAGAAATCTTAAATTCATGAAGAAAAAAGAACTAACCTCTTCTCGTAAGTGACTGTATGTAAGACAACATTAGTTAATAAAAAATACTGCTCCTTGGTTTTTTTATTGGAGAAACAAATGCAACAAGAAAATAAAGCCCTAGAATCCCTTCATATGCTATATATAAAAAGATAATTACAAAACAACTTAGAAAATCAACTCACTTGAATCTCAAGGGGGTGACCATGGATACCCATCCGCCGATCTATCATGCAGGAGCCGTCAGTGACTAACAAAGAAGGAAACATATCAAACCCATCAGACAAACACAAGTTTAGAATCAATTTTATGCCTGTCTGGACATCCACCCTTTCTTGTAATGTATAGTCACCAGTAATCTTCCCATAAGCTCTCAATAAGATAATCCACCACAATCCTATATACAAGTCAAATGCAGACAAACGGTTCAAAATTCACTTGATAAACAACAACAATGCACAATAAAACATCCTACTTAATTGCTAGTTGATTAATGGTGGATATCTATAAAGTGAAAACATACTACTAACCTGAGTCAACAGGTGCAACACGGCCAATGGCTGACTCGCCAAAATCTGGGTCTAATACTTCTTCAAACTTATTGCCATCAAGAGGGACAGTTCTAACTTTAAAACTTGCCGGCATCAACCCCTGCCCAGGGCTGTAGCAGTCCACTGTTTTCTCCCAACTCTGAGAAACAAAAAAGGAAAACATTAGAAATTATAAAAATGCTAATACTTGGCTAGTTGGCTAACTAATTATATGAAGGAGGTGTCTACTTGCCAACTTATAACAGTTAACTAAAATTCTAGAACTATGCAGCTCCTTATTTAAGGTAATATAAAACTCATAGTATACAATTTAAAACATGTTTCCCTCAACGGCATAGGCAATATACAATGACCACTTATTTAGGGGCGGACCTTACTGTAGACCAAGGGGCCATGCTGCCCCAATACAAATGAGAAACCCTAATACACAAAGATTTGACATTTGCCCCCATCCCTTCTTCCTCCTAAAATCCATGAAGAATCTCAATACGGACATGTTTAGGCATTCCTTTGGGACTTCTTCTGGCCATTAGTGCAAGCCGTGTTACCAAGTGCTAGTAATGCTATCCACATCACACTTCTCCCTTTAGCAAACCACTACAAGTTATTTGATCAAACAAGTCCTGTTATTTATTTATTTTATTCTTATTATCATTATTATTTTTTGTGTAAGATTAAGGAACCACTTTTGAACTTAATGCTAATTTAACTCCTTGATGTTGCCATCGATGAAAGCATTTGATGAAGTTTGAAAATTTTGCAATGATCTGACCAAAATGACAGGTCAAAGGGATGGCAACAGATTGGGTTTGGAAATGGACATCCCTTTCCAAACGCCGCCTCAAATAGAAAGATCCTTTTCCATACCCGTCCCAAACCCGTAATGGTTTGAGAAGAGAATCCCATCCTGTGTATCATCGGAATTGGAGAACCTATTTCCGTCCCGTCCTGTCCCGTCCCTCAATAAGAAGAAGAAATATTTTTCTTTCCCCTGCCTATGTTACAATCCACATATGTACACACACAACACATGCATATAATATAAAACATATTAACATGTATAATAAAATGAGATAAGGATTGACCAGTGAAGATTGTGGACATCATGAAAATCCACTAATTTCTGCCATTAGATCTGAACCATCCGGTGGCTTATTGGAGTAAGGGAAAATAAGTGTTTGTATCAGATTATCAATTTTATACTATTTTTTGTTGCATTGATTATCATACATTCCTAATTAAGGTGTTTAATTGATTAAAATTTACTTTAGTCAATAAAACTTTTCATCGGTTATTTGACTGATTTGTTAATGATTGAAAAAGTATATATATAGATATATAGATATATAGATATCTTGGCAAAATTAACTGATTCCGACTTTCCGAGTACACTTTGATGGATATTCTCAATAACATTACATTGCGGCTGTGATTAAAAACTATACTCATATCAACCTCCTCCACCTCATTTTACTCTTTTCACCTTGATTTTTTTAATTATTTTTGCATATCTTTACCATTTATGTGAACTTAATGTATTGTGCAATATTCTTCATTTATGAGTAATCTTAATTTTCTTTTTGGTATAATGAATTTATATTAAGATTTATATTAAACATAAAAATATTATAAATTTATACATTATATTAAAATTTTATTTTTCATATAATTAATTTTCCCCATTAAGACTTCTATTAAAATTAAAAAATATTATAAATTTATACATTTTTTTGAAAAAATATTTTTTATATAATTTATTACCTACACACACATCTAACTTCCTAGGTCCGCCCCTGCACTTACTGAATACAACCACTACAACTATCTAACAGCTCCACCCATTGACAATCCATCTTCATCATTGTATATGAGAGCAACATCTACTTTCACTGGGCACGAGTAAAGGGGGATGACTTATACCATGGATTGGCCCCGAAAGGAAAACAAAAAAAAGTTATTTCCTGGAATCTAAACCTAACATTTACTAGAGTTGAAGGAAAAGAATTAAAAAATCATTTCAATGGCTACAAATGCAAATAGAATGCATTAATTCAAGCTATGCTATAAATACTCATTTCTGAATGCAAACTCCAAACAATTGCAATTGATGAAAATTCACATAAAATTAGGAAAATTGCAACCAAAACTAGAGAGAAATACACATAATGAGATACAAGATTACAACAATCAGAAGAAATTTCAATTACCTGCAATTGCAAAGTATGGAGGAGGAAATTCCTCACCATCTCTCCTTCCCCTTTAAGCAAGAAAGCTAGTGCTGAAGGAACAAAATCACGAATAAAGACCTGATCATAATTCAGCGGTTGCTTGTCACCGGGGTCATTCGCCGCCATGGTTCCCACCGGACTCCCACAATACGACACCACGGCATCTTTCAACAACTTCCATGCCTCCCTCTCCACCTCCGACTCTTCTATACCGGCAGTTGACACCTCCACCGCCTCATTCAAACTCTCCGAATTTCGATCGATCGCATTCTCACCATCACCTTCTACTCTACCTTCTTCTTCACCCCTCCCTATATCCTCGTCTCTATCTATTCTCTCCACTACCAAAGGCTTCACATTTATACCACCCTGAACATATATCCTCTGAAAATTATCCTCATTCACACGAGTCTCGACCGAAGTTGTTGAATAATTCCTAACATGAGCACTAGCAATCACATACAAACTCCTACCCCTACCAACACCATCAACGTCATTGCAAGTGCTGGAAAAAACCCTAGATTGACCCCAACTCGAATTGGGGGGGACACAAATTTGTTTCTGGGTTGTGGTTCTATCGAATCGAAAACCCAAAATTCGTGGCGACCAGGTAGAGAACTTGCGTTGTTGATGGTCATTCAATGGGAAATTCGGCGAATTGTTAGTGAATGGTTGACATTTTGGAGACGATGGGAAACCTAGAAAAGATGAGTTTCGGCGAATTAGGATTCTACAACAGGGTTTCATGGCCATGAACGAGGTTGTACTCATAACAAGATTTGAGAAATTGGGTGTGTATAGTATGTGAATCTATGTGTGATTGCATACAAGTATATTTTGATAGGGAAAATTTTGTGAACAGGGATTGAATAACGTGTGATACAAGATATAGGAGGAGATATTTTGGAAGTTGAAGATAGAGAGAGAATATATTTGTGAAGGAAAAAATGGCGTCGGAAGAAGTTGGGAAAGTGGGGTGGTTGAACTTAGGGAGGGGAAATTGCCCTCTATATAGTCGGAGACCAGAGGGGCTGTCTTGGGAAGGAAGGATACAAATTTCAAATTTCAAATGTGTAATAAAACTTCCAATACCTAAATCTCACATTTATTAGTTTTTTTGGTTTAACCAGTAATTTATTGTTTTTAATGATCGATTTTTGCACTGCTTAATGTTATTATAATCTGAGCAATATTAACAACAACATGATAAATATTAATTCTGCTCACATAAATAACTGAGAGTTATCAGATTCCAAATTATTATTTAAATAAAACTAATAAAATATTATAACATTACTCATTTTATAAATCAAAAACAATTTTTTGGGGAATTAACAAAATTTCTTTTGGCTCCTATTGTTTTGAAAGGGATACTTAAAATGTATATGGTGCTCAAAATTAAGTTAAAATCTATTTAATTTACACCGTATTTCACCCCAAAGTACAGATCACGAGATAATCATGCCAAGAACATATTGTGGCTCATGTTACTCCGGATTAAATGAAATGTATCCCATTCCCTATATTGTTTTCAAGCACAACTAGGCAAAACTCATAAAATGTTAATGAACAAAAATAGATTTTTTTTTTTTTTTTTTGATAAGTAAGAATGAAAGCTCAACAAGAGAAATTTATTTTAAATCATTATTATATATACATATCCTAATGAAAAAGAAATAAAAACATGTGGGATCATTTTTCCTTTCAAGGGGAGGTTTAGTGTTAAAAAACCTATAAAACTACATTTTCTTTATACAAATTATTTCAATATTTATATGTTTAATGATAACTAAATATTTATTGAATGAAAATATGTCTTTAACGAAACATATATAAGATCTCAATTTAAGCAAGTTTATTTAAAAGGGAAAAAAATAAAAAGTATAAAATACCCTCATTGTTATAATTAAGCTGTTCTTTTTTCTTTTTTCCTTTTTTTTTAAAAAAAAAAAATTCAAATCAAGTCTAAATATAAAACTAATTTGTGTAAAAATAAAACCAAAAATTATTTTATTTTGTGGATTCCTCTCAATAATCCCACATAGATGAAACCTACAATAAACAAGTGGTCTATTTTTTTGAGTTAGTGGTCTCTTTCATCCGTTAAATGGTGATTCTAAATTTGTAATTTTACCTTTACGTGGAGAAAATTATGATACAAAAAGTAGATAAAAATGATTTTATGCATGTGAGTTGTAAAATTAGAATTAAAAGATACATGAACCATCCATTATTAACTAATTAAAGGACGAAAATCACGAACTTTTCCATATAATACGGTTATCCATTAATCTAATATGTTTTTAGGATCCACGTGCCTTATTGTTATTGGTTATAGTAAGGTTATTGAGGATTTTAATTGCAAAAATATTACTTAAGAATTTGTTTCGTTGAGGGCAGTGTTTGGTGGCGAGGGCAGTGTTTGGTGGCGCAAGGTTTCGCACGTGACCAAAAAAACGAGTGATCGAAGAAGTTGGATGAGTGTTGGTGACGTGTCGAAAAGATTTATATCTGCAACATGTTTTTTTTTTGGATTAATTACAATGACACCCCCGAAGTTTGTCGTATTGACAATCATATATAAGTTGGCCATTTTTTAAACACTCACACCCCCCTCAGAAATTTAAGCCAAATAAGCCCTTAAAATTTGTCAAAAGACAAGATTGCCCTTCAATAAAATATCAATTATAAATTTAAAATATCAAAAAAATTATATGACAGAATTACCCTTCTACTCCAAAAAACCCCAAAATTTTTTGCTCTTCACCAATCCTCCTCTGCGTAGTCCAAGCAATCTTGTCTATACACACACACCAATCCATCTTCGTCAAGCTCTTCACCAATCCTCCCGAATTGGTACACAATCGAATCCCGATGAATTGATCAGACTGGTTAGTGTTGCATTTGGGGAACTAAAACCCTAATTCGGCTAAGGCTTCCGCAAATTCGTAATCAATGATGGTAGTGGCTATGGTGGTACTATAAAGGTAAAGTTTGAGTCTTTGAAGTGCTGATGGGGTTGGGTGTGGCGGGGTTGTGGAGTGGGGATGGGGGTGGGTGTGGCGAGGCTGTGATGTGGTGATTGTGAGGTTATAAAGTGGTGGTGGCGGGGCTGTGATGTGGTGGTGGTGAGGTTGTAAAGTGGTGGCGGGGCTGTGATGTGGTGGTGGTGAGGTTGTAAAGTGGTGGCGGGGCTGTGATGTGGTAATAGCGGCGGGTGTGGCAAGGTTGTGGAGTGGTGGCGGCGGGTGTGGCAGGGTTGTGGAGTGGTGGCGGGGCTGTGATGTGGTGGTGGTGGTGGGGGGGTCGTGATGTGGTGATGGTGGTGGGGCTGTGATGTGGTGGGTGTGGGTGTAGGTGTGGCGGCACTGTGAAGATGAGAGGGTAGAGAGAGATGAATTGGTGGAGGTGGTGGTATGGTGATGGTGGCTATGGTGGTATGCCGCCAGTGGAGGGGCAACCAGCCAACCACCCTCTTCTTCTCTCATTCTCTCTCTAAATATATATATCTATATATACATCTTTACCAGATTCTATATTTATAGCATTGCTTCAGTGAAGAGGCTTTTCCATCAACAGGTGTCAATACCTTCTTTAGCTAATGTTAAAAGACCTACTTTCTTTCTCCTTAGACTTCAATCGACAACGAATCAGAAGCTTTCTCAAAGTGTTGAGCGAACTCCTTCGCCAGTCTCGCTCCATCAACCGCTCGGAAACGTAATGATAACGCGGAAGTTTCGAGATGATGACACAATTATCAGTCTCGGATTGATCATCTGGAAGTGTTTGGAATGGAACTATGAAAAATATGTCGGATTTATATATATATATATATATATATAAGAGGAGATGATATACACACACACACATGTATTCGGTGTATGTATACGGTTGCAGTGATGTGGCAAGTTAGGTTAATTAAAATTAGTTAGAAGGTTAACTTTGTAATTTCAAAATCTCAATGATTTAATTGACAAGTCAAAGGTTAAATTAGTCATTTTTTTTATATGTCAGGGTACATATGGTGTTTGAGGATGTTTTGTTAATTTTATCAAATTTTAGGGGTCTTGTTGTTCAAAAAAAAGGTTAATTTATATATGTCTGTGAATACGGTAAATTTCAGGAGGTGGTGTTGTTGTAATTAATTCTTTTTTTTTTTTCTTTTTCTTTTTTTTTTCATATGTCAATGTAATCTAAGGACATGTCTCTTGTTCCCCCTTTGAGATGTTGCCACGTGTCAAAAGAGCTGGCCTTCCACAATGAGAGGACAAGGTTTAAAGCTTATAATGTTTGCTAGTGCCATACTGCCATGTGGAAAAGTGCAGTAGACAACTCAGCATACCAATCTTTATTTAAGTCCTTATCCATGTAAAGAGTTGTACACTTGGATATATATATATATATCCAAATAATAGTTCATAAGAATTCTGCAATAACAGATGGAGATCTGTTTGATGTGCCATTCAGTAAATAGTTTTTAAGAATTCGTAAAATAAAAAAGTATTTTCTAGGAGAACTTTAAAAGACTATTATATGAAAATGTCTTTTTATAATTGAATTTTTATAAAATAATTTTGGAAAAATAGAACAAAGCAAAATTTTTGTAAATTTTTTTAATTTTTATTTTAAAATTGTTTTTATGTCTAAATTTTTTCGTAGGTTTTATTTATTATTGGACTAGTGTTACAAGGGGAAATTTGTCCCATATTGGATCCGGATGGAGAAGTGATTGGGTATAAATGGGTTGGTCTACAACATTACCAAATAGCTTAAGAATTTGGGTAAATAGACAAACGCTCACTTATTACAATTGATATCAGAGTCAAACCTAGTCCTTAATACATTATCACGCCAAGCGCCCGACCCAGAAGGCGTTCGGATGAGTCACCCGGTTAGACAGGGTGGCCCGACCCCAACGAGAGCTTTACAAGTTCAGGTGGGGGAGAATGTTACAATTACCACTAGCAAATAGATTGATTAACCACAATGTTTTATTCAAAAACATTTATATAATAGCATATGGATCAAAATCGACTTCAATTTTCTTAAACCCATCATCCCGTGGCCCATGCTAAGTTTAACCCAAAAAAAGATGGCCCAAAAGCCCCAAACCCACCATCTCATACAGGCCTTCCTTCTAAGCACACCCGTCCCTGAAAGGGCTTTCAAGAACAAGCCTCGCCTAGGGTTTTTGAGCAGCCCGTTAGACCTATTTCGCCAATAGAATATTGTTAAATAATATGAACCATTTACACTCTGGTAGAGATAGAAAATGATAATAAATAAATAAAACAACTTTTTCAGCAACATTTAATTAAAACTATCTCAGAAGAAATCCATATTTAAAATATATATGAAATAAAACCCAAATGTCATAATTTCTTGATAAAACTCTATTTGAATGAAGGAGAACGTAGTTTAGAGAATGCTTGCAAAATTCTTTACACAAATTTAAATTCAATTTTAAAAAGAAAAATGATAAACATCATAATATATATATATATACACTTTTTCTGTAAAGTTAAGCAAATATATATACCTATAATTTTTGGTCTGCTTAGTTTGTAACTCTAACAATAGTTCTCTGTTTTCAATCTTCTCAAAACGGAAAACTGTATAAAAATTCTGCTTGGTTCAATTTTTTAAAAATTCATTTATAAAAAGACAAGTTTTTAGAGATTTTCTATTATAGGTATATGAAAACAATTTTATATTTTCAGAGTTCTCGAAAATTGTTTTTAAAATTACAAACCAAGCAGCCTAACTATTTCACAACCATTGAACGTGTCCAATGATCCAATTAAGATAGATATCACAAGGTGTGTATCAATGCTCTTGAAATCTTCTTGTAGCTCAACCCAAAAAAACTCCCAACTCTACCTATACCAAGTTTTCCCCCAAAAAAATTGACCAAATGGGATTCCACTAAGCTCACATGATGCATTTCAATTCAATTGTCCAAGGCTTGATCTAAATCTAAATGGATAGACCGCTTTCTGACCTAAACCAATAGCTGTTGGACACTTGTCCCAGCGCAATACTCCTCCAAATTCAGCCCTATCTATCCTGTTGAGCTCCTCCTACCGAATCCTCTCTCTCTCTCTCTAAAATGTCTCTCTTGCTGGAACTCTTTCCGCTCTCTTCTCTCTCTTCATCATCTCAGCGTCCCACGGCCCCGGTGCTCTCGCCGGATATGGTCACACCGTCGCACCCACTCACTTCATTTGCAAATTCACCTGCTTCCAATCGTCGGCGCTCAATTTCTTGCAAATCACACACTGTAAGTCACGTTTAATTAAACAGTTTTTCTCGATTTATTTCAATGTCACACCAGCAATTTGTAACGTGAAGATCCATAGAGTAGATCAGTCTCTAACTTGGTTTCACACGTGCATATATATATATATATATATTTATATAGATAGATAATATAAAATTATAAGAGTACAAACTACCCATAGCAAGTTAGCAACTCCTTATCCCATCAATTTTTATCTCTAATAGTTGGAGTTAAGTGGCCCGGTAAAATTGCTCCATTGTGATGTCTGCATCCTCTCTAGCGTGCTTAAATCCTATTTTAACACATTATTTCAAGTTGGAAGTAATGATGTTGAAGTTAGATTGTGTTTTCTCAGCAGCGTGCTTAAAAAGTTTTTCTCACACATTATTTCAAGGTGGAAGTAATGGTGTTGAAACTAGATCATATTGAGGGCACCTACATCATGGTGTAGTGCACTACAGAGATCCTGACTCTAGAAATAGAAAACAGGTAGGCTGCGTTGGTGACCAATTCCAATGCTCCAATTTCATGCAGCCGAACATAGCCTATGTTTTTTGAAAACCAAATCCAAAAAGAAGTGACCGATAAATATTTGATGAGATGACAATATTTATAAGTTGACAAGCATTTGGTAGTAGTATTGTGTTTGGTTCTGAGGTCCCATTGTCCTAACATTCTGCCGTAAGCAGATTTGTGTTCTATAAACTAGCATCCTACATGCATCTGCATGAATATCCCATCTGCAATGGCTTCTTACAGTACATTTTCTATCATATAATCAGACTAAAGCTTTTGCAGTTCCGCGGAGGAATGCAATGGCCTTGATCTTTTCGAGTTATATCTTCTCACGAATTAATTTGCACGATGTTGCATCTGCTCAACAATCTGTGGAGTTCAGGGAATATATAGATACTTTTGATGGCTATTCGTTCAAGTACCCACGGAACTGGATTCAAGTTCGAGGTGCTAATGCAGACATATTCTTCAGGGATCCGTTCGTTCTTGATGAAAATATATCAGTTGAGGTATCCTCTCCTTCATCCTCTAGTTACAAAACCGTGGAAGATTTGGGTCTGCCACAAGAAGCAGGAGAGAAAGTACTTAGGCAGTATTTGACAGAGTTCATGTCTACTAGACTTGGTGTGAGGCGTGAATCGCACATTCTGTCTACATCTTCAAGAGTAGCTGATGATGGGAAGATATATTATCAAGTTGAGGTAAGGCATTTCTGATGTAGAAAATGTCAACTGTATCCAGTATAGGGTTTATCAAGGGTCGGGGTAGTCAACTAGTCATGTTGCATTTGGATCCTCTGTTGTAGCGTGCTGTAGAGATTCCAGCACAATTAGCACGTTACAAAAGAGGATCCAGATGCCAGATTTTTTATGCTGGATTCCTGATAGGGTCTTTAACATGGTTCGAAACATTTATTCATTCTGGTTTTGGGGATAGCTATATGGTGGGTGATATTATAAATTTAGCAGCATATATAATGAGATTTTGGGGTGTGTATGGTGAGCCTATCTGTTGACATAGCTTCCCACAATGAATCGAGATCTTTTTTTTGATGAATCGAGTTGAGAACTGTCTTTTGTGTAAAATTTTCTTCTAATTTTTATCGTTTTGTCTTGCAAGTAGGTAAACATAAAGTCATATGCAAGCAACAATGAGCTAGCTGTGATGCCACAAGACCGAGTAGTTCGTTTGGAATGGGACAGGCGATACCTTTCAGTTCTTGGAGTTGAAAACAACCAGTTGTATGAATTGAGACTACAGACACCGGAAAATGTATTTGCAGAGGAGGAGAATGATCTTCGACAAGTTATGGATTCCTTTAGAGTAAACAAGGTGGCCGTTTGATCAATTACGTGCATTGAATTTTTTCCCTAAAATTTTGTCATTCTTTGATTTCAATTTATGTATGTTGCATAACTTTACTACGGATTATTCTTCTAGCTGTTCTGTTTTATTATCTTGTACTGGTGATTAAATGTAATCATCCCTAAGTTACCTTCATCTTGTCTATCTTGAGTGTAAGTGCAGTCACTCCAGGTTAGAGAGCTAAATGATCAGCTTTGTGTCAAAGTTCTACAGGCTCAAGTCATCAGACTTTTCCTGGTGCAGTATAGAAACTTAGCTAATCATTCTGGCAAGTTGGAAATGGTTCAAAAGTCTGATTTGTGACAAATATATGGCTGAATGAAGAGCCTATCTTTATTTGAACGGGAGAACAGAGTTTACCGGAATTCAATTGGAGTCTCAAAATTTTATTAGTTAAATGGGGTGAGTGGAACTATGAGAAAGTATTATGATTGGCATTAAACTAGACATTTTTTTCCCTCTATTTGAAACTCACACACTCACTTTGTATCCGTGGGGACTTGAATTCTTGACCTTGAAGTACAACTAGGCTAATGCTTTTAGTAACTTAATATTATACTCAATTTACATTGCTATGGCACTTGGCAATATAAGAATTCTAGGGGAGCTTTATAGTTACCAGGAAAAAAATTATAGGGGAGCAGAGATCAAGAAGCGTAGGATACAATGGCCGGATGTATCTAATCAAGCAGCTTTGGAGGCGGCTCTATTTTGGAAACAGAATTACAAAGGCTCGAAAATGATATTACTATAAATCTAATGTTTTTTTTATCAAACTGCATATGGCTCATGTATTTCTATTTTTAGGTTAGTTTGGGTTGTGTATTTTCAGGGTAGTAGACTGCATGGCCCAAAATCAAGGACAATATGCAGATTTCGTCATGGGGTTCAATATGGTTGAAAAGAAACAAGATGAGAGCAAACAATATTTTATGGAACAAACCTCTTGATCACACTGAGAATTCAGAGAAAACTGAATAAAAACAAAAAGACAAGAACATAGAGAATACAGACATCTCATGACTTCACAATCATTATTTATTATTTATTTTTTATCTTTTTGATTAGTAAGATTGTAATAATGAGGAGTTCAAAAGGGGAACACATCCCTCACAATTAAATTTTGAGGTTCTCTCTTGACCAAATTTAGCTTACAGAACTTGAGGAAAAAAGACACAGACTGTTGTTCCCTTCCTAGATTTCCAAGATGCATTTGCTTCTATTCAGACTGTTCATCCCTTGTTCTCTTTCTTTGACAGGTAGGGAAATGAATTTGGGAAAGGATTTCTATGAAAAACAGCTAAAGCACTCCAAAGAATCAATGTCATCCAAATCACCTTTATGAATGAAAATATAACAGTAAATTGAACTGTAATAACACATATATTCACTCCTAGCCGAACCTGTCTCGACAAAAAGGTTGAGACTATGACCTTACTTCAAATTCCCCCGCTCGTGTGAGAGCCCGAAAACCTTTGTAATGGCGAGTAGGTAGACTCTTCAGGTCCAGTTTATCTATTTGCAGGCCAGAAAGAGCAACACCCATGATCCTGAAGCCCACTTGAAATGTAGGAAATACATGAAGGCGCTCTAAACCAGTCTCGAGCACTAATGTCCCAGACATTGAAGGGGCTTTATCTTTTGGGATGCATCCAATGGACCAAGAGCAAGTCTGTAAAAACATAACAAAAATCAGAATACCATCCAGAGAAGATACACCACATCCCCTGTTCTCAGTCTACAACTTCACAATCAAACCAGATACAGAAAGCCATCAAAAGCTGACAAAATGATTAAATAAGGCAAGAATGCAATTTTCCAATTTATTCAACCAAATGAGATTCTTATTATAGTTTACAATGGATACATAAAATATATGAACAATTACCAGCACCAAACTTAGTACCTTATTAGCAAGGATGTTTACTGTTCCATGATTTGAAGTTAGATCAGCTGATAAAATACAAGGAGGCAATTGGAATTGTACGGTTATTGAATCAATTTTCTTTCCAGGGTCACTTCGTATTCCAACTAACACGCTGACACGACATGTCCCAGAATCCGAGGTTAGCTGTGGCTTTACATATATTGGAGTATTTGTTAACTTTTTAACCCTGTAAAATGATGAATTCTTTTTTAGCTCATGTATTCAATAAAGCCACAGTCTAAAAACAATGGAAATCAAATTCTACTCTAAAAATTTTCCCCGTCAGTCTGTCACCTATCACATGTCCGACGGCACGTGTGCAAAAATATTTTGGTGCATATTATTGCCCATGATTAAAAACACTTAAATCTAATAAAACTATTGCCCCATTCAACTGAAAGATTGAAGACATAAATACGTAACAAAAGTCTCCTCAACCCCACTCACCTGTAACTCATGAGCTTAAACTGCCCATCGGGAGGCACAAAGGACAGAATTTGGTGTGATTCCCATGGACGAAACCGAACAGAAGGATGAAATCTCACATCGTTCAAAATTGAAGGATTTGCAAATGAAAGAGTCAGATCAGGAACACCTGAGAGATGGGAATTTACTTGAACTTCACCATATATCTCGCATTTCACCAGGGCCCCATCCCTGAGCAGCACAAGCAAAATGCATGTCAGCTAGCCTATAAGAACCAAATCTTGTTGTATAAGCAACCTGAACATATTACTGGAAATACTACACAAACAAGTTTCTAAGAGATGATCATCAAGAGTGACTATGTTATTGGAAGTCGCAAAATCAAATTCAACCATCAGATATAGATTACAGAATATAAATGTGAATACATCATCAAATCATTACTATCTCATTTGGAGTAGTGGAGGCAAAAGGAAGCAATATCATATTTCTCTTTATTTTTGGTCACTACCATTTACTAATATTCAGAGGGATATTGCTGTTAGTTTATTAATAATAAGACCCAAGAAATCTCGTTGAACTCGGTGCAGAAAAGGGGTTCAAGAGTCGTTTCCCTAAGATCTTTCAGATATTTGCCTGAAAATGACAAGGATCCGTGTTGAAGGATTTAAATATTAAAGTTACACCCTCTCTAACAGCTTAAGCTTTTGGAGTAGATGGTTATTAACAATCCGAAAGTTGATTTTTCAATCCCTTCTCCTAGTTAAAACTTCCTCTAATTCCGACATCTTAATCATAAAAATAAAATAATCAATGGGCTCCTTCACTAGGAGTCTCTCCCTGATGTTCTATCCTTGCATGCTCCCTTCATAAGTGACTCCTAATCCATACGCCAAACTTTGTTCCCCTAACTTGAGATGCAAATATGCTTGCTAAAGGTTTAGTTGGATCATTAGCATAGAAAGGTGACTACCAGTGAAATGCTCCAATCTTAAGACCCCCACGTTACCTGGACTAGTGTAAGTGTAATGGGTGTGGGTGCGGGTGCGGGTGTTGGACCCCTCGAATCCCAATTCTTAGGCTACAGGAATACAGGGTCCAAAAAGTTGGATACAGGTATGTGGAGATGGTACTCAATTGTTACTCAAATTAAATAGAATGATGGAAAAAGAAAAGGGTATCCATCTATCTCATAGATAGACAACTCCTCTGTACTTTTAAATTTTAGTTTTTTTTTTTTTTTTTTCATGCCACGTGAATGATCCAGGTGTCCAATTTGGGTTCATGTCTCGGAGACATATCCTGTACCCATATCCATGTGTCATGTCGACATGGGTATGTGAAGTGATAGGAGTCCATGTAACAAAGGATCCTAACAAGCTAAATCTCCTGGTAAACTAGGGAAAAAAAAATTCTCTTGGTGAGATGCACAACAAGAATTTGATCCGTTCTTCCATCTCCAATGCACTATGAATCAATTTGTCTGGAATAGCGAAAACTAGCATTCGAAATCATCTCCATGCTTGAGATTCTTCAAAGGCATACATGGGAGAATACAAAGTCTTCTGAAGGTACTCAATGGTAGTGATTTTGTGGCTCACTATTTCTTCTGAGAAAAGCTTCTCATGTTCTGATGTCAAACTTCACAGTTAAAATGATTCGTCTCCAGGGATTAACTGGATTAGAAAGAAATATGCTCACCTTTAAAAGTAGATTTCCAAAAACTCATCCTCTTTTGGTGCTTCCTTCTCTTGGGTCAACAGATTGCTAATTCATAAGTGAACTCACGTCTATAAGACAAGCAACTTCTGCATAAGATTTTTCTGGGAAACTAAAGCCACTAAGATTTACAGCAGTATTATCCATATTAAGTGTTTTCCCCTTCTAAATCAGGACATGTGAAAAAAATAAATAAATAAAAATGAGCTGTTTGTTATAAATGAATTGTTGATTTCGATATGTGGCTATTTTATGTTTCTTCATGTATCTCAAGTTATATTATTTGTACATTTAATTGCAACTTTGGCAGCTTGAAGGACTTGTTATAATTTATCTGCCTCTTGGTTCGCTCTTACCCTTATAAATTTTTCTTCTTCTTTTTTTCCTAGTTCTCTTAAAGTTTTCTTTCTTATTTTAATATATATTAAAAAAAGAAAGAAAGATAAACATTAAAAAGCTATCATTGGCATGTCATCCAAAATCCAGACCCTAAAAGAACAGCACCACAAACTGGATGATTTCCTATTACCACATCTTTAAACAATAAACACAGACTCACCAATGAGAATTACTGATGAAAAAGATTAAAATATATATATATATATAATATCTGATAACAGACCTGCTTATAATTGCATCCATTTCTTCAACAAGATCAACATAAACTTCATTGTTGGCATGCTTTAGGTCCGTTGTTCTCCATGGAACACAAGATGCTGTCGCACCGGGAAGGATGTTGCTCATGTTGGAACTGTTACCAGTGACAACACTCAGTACTTTGTTAACAATATTTGGAGGAGCTATCATCTCCCTCAGGATGTTAGGCTCTGTTGTGAGAGGGAACCCATTATCTATCATCTCATCCAGAAGCTGCAATTTACAAATACCAACAAAATTATAAGTTGTTCCTAATTCTAGGAAACTGAACATGTCGATATGATTATGATCTAACTGATTGTTATTGTACAGTCAGTGCCAAAGGTCTTGCATTAATACCTCATATACAATAACAAAGTTGTCCTTTATTACATCTTCATTCAATCCCCCTAGATAGTCTGAAAGGACATCAGCTACTCTGCAAAGGAACTAAGGATAAAAAAATTATTAGACATCAGAGAGTTCAACGTTTCTTTTAGCATATATAATGAATGTTGCTAGTATATACACGTCATGGATAGAGAAGCATACAAAATTCAAGCATGTCAAACAAAATAATATGAGCTAATTCTAGCACCTAGTTCTTGCTTGAGACACAAACTTGATGCTCTATCTTTAGCCAATTACAATTGGAGTAGCTTAGCTACTCCACGAAAACAATTTACTACGCCAAATGGAAGGACCATGAGCAGTGTGCCTCCAACTTTTACCAATGAAATATTGGAAGAAAAACATCTCTAATGACTAATAATAGCATAAAGTTGCACACTCATACAGTCCCAAGTTAGGGTTCCTGTTGCTGCCACACTTAAAAAATAAGGTCTAAACAATTTCTCAAGAATTTTGAAGTGAAAGTAAATCTCACATTGGAGTCGTTCCTTATCAACCCTATTGCTACATTCCCTTTTCACAATCAACAAAAAGGATATCGAAACTTGAGTCATTACCATCAAAATCTTATATATTCCAGATTCAAATAAACTTAACTTTTCTAAAAATCAGCAAATGGGTATTTAAACTTGAGTCATTACCATCAAAATCTCATATATTCCAGGTTCAAATAAATTTAATTTTTCTAGACCACTATTATTGTTCTATTTCTTATATCAAAAGGCAACTAGACATATCAGTACATGCTATTATAAAAATTCTATCTTTTACTGCCAATCTCATATTTATTTTACATATCTAACAGATCTCTCAAACATGTAACAAGAACAAAAGTATATTAAATTTCTTTGCACGTCAGCATTCAAAAGGTAAAATTGTTCACATTGGCCAAAGTGCAATGGAAAATCTAACTAGCTCAATTGAACCTTCTCCAACGACGGAAGAGCTTATCGATGCAAGAAAAGATTAAAATGCCATTTGTAGTGACCATTTGATTGAGGTAGCACAACCCAAGTAACTAAACGCTGCATTTCCCAATAACTCTATATAATGATAAATTAGATGGACATATTCTAATAAAATTCTTTCTAGATGCCACTAATTATACCAACTGAGAGCCAAAAGAAAATGGTCTTTTTTTTTTTTTTGATAGAACCAAAAGAAAGTAGTTTACTTGCTACTGTTACTATTATGACACTAAAAGTTCATTATTAAATATATGTCCCGCCTATGTGGGTGCAGGGAGGGGAAGACTGGAGATAGTCCTAATCTTTGGCAAAATTGCACAAAGTTGATGCTATGAGACTTGAACCCACGTGCTAATGCTTAGCAGCCCAAGTTTTTACCAGTACACCAAGTAATGACCCTTTTTAATGTGAAACTACAATGAAATATAAAATAAAATAAAATACTTCAACTAAACCAAAATCCTATTACCGAAAATTCAAAAAAGAAAACAGTCGGGATTGCATGAATCATACCCTTGAATGTGGATAAAATGATACAGTTCATTTCCGTTTTCCCATTTTCAGAAACGTTCATCACATGACTGCACGTGTGTTCGTTACATATTGCTAAAAATGGCACATTTAAAGCTTGCTAAAGCTCATTGTTTGTGTAAGAAACTGAGCTCAAGCCAATGTCTCAATCTCATTTAATAATGAACTGAGCTTCAACAAGACAGGATTTGGTTTGATTAAGCTCAGTTCGGTTATGAAAATTAAGATACACATGCCAAGTTCTTATATTTCACCTTTTCCACAAGGCTCTTTTGAGTACTAATACTGGAAGTATATGGAATAATTTAATTTTTCTTGTGAATGACAAATATAATTTCTTAGATTTATGTGTACAAAGCTTCTTGGAAAATGAAAAAATAAAGTATTTTTTTAAGTAAAAAATAAATAAAAGAAAGAAAGAAAAGATGGTGCACAAGAGAGAGAAAATGGGCCACGGCGGCGAGCCGTTCTTCTTTACCTGATGAGCAGGTTTAGATGCCTCCTGTAGAGATATGTCAATTGCATTCTCATTGACCACGTAATAAAGTTGAGTAAATGAGTTTTGAGCAGAGTTGAGCTTATGTTTTGTGAAACCTTGGGAATCCAAGCCCCGCTTGAGCTTGAGCTTGAGCTTTAGCCGAGCCTGAACAGTCTATCCTTATTTATCTGATACTGTATTTGGCTCAGTTCACCAGTAGTCCTATTTCACCAATTACTGCTTAAATAAATGCAACATGGCCCCAGTAGCATACATTTAAGTAGGATCCACTTATCAAAACAAAGTCTAATGTATATATGAATCCTCATATGCCACTAGAAGCAACTCTTTATGGTGTCGAAAATCTACGCCTTGTGAGAACAAAGATGAAATAAAGAAAAAGCTCGTTAGCTAGTACTGGCCCTGAGTAAGCGGGATGTTGGAAGATGATGATTAGAAGCAGACCTAAAATTTGTCATTCTTTTGCACAAAATAGCTGTTGTATCCTCAGATTTGTTAGTTTAAGCTTGCCAACGATGTTATTAAGTTAATATGGAGGGTTGGTGGGGAATTGGACCCAATTGCACATGAAACCCAGAGCTGAGCCCAGCAATGATATTAGATTAATACCTCTGAATAAGGAACAAATAAGAGAAAGAAAACGGCATCAATCTCAACAAGATGAGACCAAGTTCAAGTTCTTACAATTGAAAGATTTTCAAGTAATGCATCTCTCATTAATTAGATCAAGAAATAATCACTATTTAAAAAAGAATATATTAGGACAGGATGCAACAACTCACCTCAATTCCCATTAAAGGTGGCATTTCAACTTGGGTGCATGCTAAAAAAGTTATACCCTCGCGAACAATTTGGAAAAGGTAATGTGTCGGTGAAGCAATTACAGGTGCAACCTATTAATTAATAGCAGATAAGTTAAACTGACATGAGCTGATAATCAAACATAAATACATACTGCAGTATGATAAACATAATGCACTTTGTACTTACAGGAAAAATAAAATAATAATAATAATGCACTTGGAACTTGAATCCCTCAAAATTGAAATGAAATGAGACCCAAATGCTTAGTAAAATGTTAACTACAAGTTAATTCTATCAATATTCACATCGGCACCAAATTAAGAAAAAAAATATTCATATAGGTACCTTGAAGGGATCACCTTGAGAGATTGCTTGCTCCCAAAACCAATCACAAATGGCCCGATCAACCCGGTGCCCCTTTAACTGTTTTTCTAGCATTACCTCCCTGCAAATACATATTCAAATCACAAAACAAATTTTTTTTTTTTCCTCATTTTAATACCCGTTAATTGGAATCACTGTAAGCATATCCAAACAAAGCACATCTTCTTCTTTTTCCCCAATTCAGAAGACCAAAACTAGTAAATATCAGCTTGATTCCAAGTCTTATCAGAATCTTATATATAGAGGCATAAGTAGGAATGGTAATTGTAAGATTTCAAGTTTTCTTTTGTTTTCCAATTATTTCTCAGCAACCCAATATCTCATTATGCAAAATCCGGCAAACCAATAAACAATTCGATATATACAATATGGATAATATATACAGACAGATCAAGAGACTGAATTCGGGAAACGAAGCTGTTTAGGGTTCATATGATTCTAAGTATGAAGATATTAAGAGAAAACGAGTGCTAAAGACATGATGAATGAAGAATTTGAAACTTACCCAGAATCTGAAAGAAGAAATATACACTGCAACATCTCTCTCTGGGATCGATTAAAACTAGTAACTTTGTTCCTTTCTCTTTCAACTCGAAGAGTGTGTGTGGTGGTGCGTTTAAACCTGAGTGTTTTTTATTCTTTCTGTATGGACTGGGCTTTAATTACAGGGCCGGGCTTCTCTACCTGGGCCGGGCTGTTTAGGGTTAATGAGTATTTTAATACCATATAATTTACATAAAAAGTAAAATTAATAAAAAAATAAAAACAAAGGCACGATTAGGGTTTTGTTCATCTCTTCAACGATACATAGATAGTTTGAGACAGAAATTGGAGGAATGGAGTTCCAGTTCTCGATTTTCATTGCTCTTCAACACAGTCGCACAAAGACAAAAGAAGATTTATGACGATTTATGACGTCAAATTAATTGATGGTAAGAAAGACTAAAACACCTTCTTTGTTATGTTCTTCGGTGCCTACTAGGAGCTTGTTTTGTTAGAAATTAATGTTACTGTGTATCGCTGAATCCCATTTTCTCTATTTAATCAAAATTCAATTTATCTACCAAAACAAAAAATTATGTGTTCACATCTTCATAGTATGCCTTTTAAGTTTGTATAAAGTAATCATTGGTCTAATTTTTCTATAGATTTCGAATATTTTATGTCATTTGGATTATATTTTATGAGATTATCCATTGTATCAGTTTTCCAATTTGCTTTTACATACAAAATTCTCGAACACCAAGTGTTTGTCAAAAGTACTGTGTGGGGGGTCTATTTTCATACAAAGGCCAGTCACATTTAACTTCTATCTTCAGATGACTAGTAAAAAATTCTCAATAATCTCATATACTTTTTTTTTATTTTTATTTTATTTTTCGGTGCTCATGTATAACACATTCCCATTTTCAAAGCAAGACCTTAATTTTATACATAAAAATTAAATTCTCTAGTCACACTACTTTTAACACATTGATATACCATAAATTTTGCATTAAAGTATTCATTTTGATGTAGTAGAGTACCACTTCATTCTGTTGACTATTTGTCATTTGATAAAACTTAAAAATATACGTGGTAGGTTTTAAAAGTTGAATTTTAAATGTTAATGGTAAATCAAGTACTGATTTGATAATTGATTGAATTTTAAGTGTTTGTATTAAGTGATAAGTAAAATATATCTCCTTTCAAATTTTATTTCATTTTAAAGAAAACTTAATCTTGTAAGTGATACTCACATTGTGTTATCAAATACATTTAATTGAATAGCTACCTAATTTATTCGAAATTAAATATTAAATTGAGTTGTCAATGTTTTGAGTTACAGTATTTTTGGAGTGAGTTTGACTAGCACTTTTGGAGAAACAAGACTTTAGTAACATAGCCCAAGGAAATGTTGATTTTGTTTTCTTTTTTAATACGAGGTGGGGTATGGATTTGCTTAGAAGGTTATTGTAATTTCAACAATACGGTTGAGAAAATATCTTTTTGGATCATTATAAAACATCCCTATTTTCCTTGTATGCAAGACAGAGACCTGGCATAACTGAAATTTTCCACAAGAAATAGTTCCAAGAATTTGTGGGTGAATACAAGCTTTGGTGGTTCTCCCCGTCATATGCGTACTCTATAAATTTTTACCTATGCTATCGATTTTTGCATTACAGAACAATGGCTTCAATTTCAAACCACGAGGGATCTTCAAAGCAAGTGAAAAATTATTTCAGCAAGGGAGATAGGATCAGCAACTTGCCAGACTCCCTTATTGTTCACATTCTCTCTTTCCTTCCTACAAAATACGCTGTTCAAACCAGCATACTCTCATCAAGATGGAAGCATATTTGGGCTTCTGTTCCTGCCCTAGACTTTGATGTGAACTTGAGATTTTTTCCTGTTGAAATATCTAATTCAAGTAAGAGTTATTCCAACTTCATGAGCTTTGTTGACCGAGTACTTTTCAATCATGAATTGTCCTGCATTCAGAAGTTCCGTTTATCCTGTGTTGGGTACAAACGCATTGATTTATCAAGAATATATACATGGATAAGTATAGCCATCAAACGTGGTGTTGAAGAACTTGATATACAGATTGAATCACCCCAGGAACATTTAGACTTACCTTTAAGCCTCTTCACTTGCCCAACACTGGTGGTCTTGAAACTAGGAAAAGAAGTTAGATTCAATGTTCCTTGCTCAGCCCATTTCAGAAGTCTCAAAATCCTCCATCTTTCAATTGAATATCTATGCGATGACTTGGCTCAAAATCACTCGGCGCAAAATCTCTTTCGTAACTGCCCTGTTCTTGAAGATCTGTTCATGGAAGGAATTGTTCCGAATAATAATGAAGAACTAGTTTTTGACATCTCCACCCCCACTATGAAGAGATTAGGATTAAAATTTACTGCAGAAGATTTTTTGGAAAATGGTGGCACCAAAATTGTGGTCAATGCACCAACACTCGAGTATCTAACTCTCCAAGATGATTGCTTGCCTTGCTTTGTGCTAAGCAACCTAACCTCGTTGGTTAAAGCAGATTTTATTGATGTTGGGTACTACTGGATGAAAAGTATGCAAACCAGAAAACATGCTGATCGTGTACTTGTGAATCTCAGAGAAATTTTGCGTGTCAAATATCTATCTCTTGGCGCTAGTACCATGCGGGTAAGTTTGCACTTCTTGTCTTGATAGTACTTTCTGAGTGTCAATTTTGTGAATCTCTTATATATAGACACTGATTAGGCTATTATGTTTCATACCTTATGAAGGTTCTTGACCATGCTGATGGTGGCAAACCGCTCTTGTTCCCTAATTTGATTCGTTTGGAGCTGTTTCTTTACGATCGCTATGACTTGGGACGTGTACTAGACTTGCTCAAAGGCATGCCTAAACTAGTACATCTTGTCTTGGATAAATTTAAGGTGACTATTAATGTAAAGAACAATTTGAAGTATGTGTGTAATTTTTGATTCACTATTTCTGAATTTCTTATTTCTGTCAATAGAGGCTTCCACGTAAGGATTTCAAATTTGTTGAACCAGAAGTGGTGCCTTGTTGTCTGTCCATGCATCTTCAAAAAATTGAATTTAGTGGATTTGCTGGGCTGGGAGATGAGCTGGAGCTGATGGCGTATTTTCTGAGAAATGCCAAAGTATTGCGAAAGATGAAAATTCATTCCTGGAATTCACAATATAAGCAAGAGAGGGTGTTTCTGCAGGAACTGGCAAAGTTTCCGAGGGGTTCTACCTGTCAAATTTTATTTTGTTAGAAAGTTTTCTGGTGTGTTGTTTTTGCTACAATTAATCCTAACGAGGAGGTGGTGATTATTATTATTATTATTATTATTAAACCTATTTTCAATTCATTTATATTGAAAGATGGAAATATAAAATTTGGAGTATTTTTGTCTTAACAATTTCAATTTTTCTTGCTTTACTGTTTAAAAATGCGATTTATATTGAAATTGAACGAAATAGAATCCATTGTTTGTTCCAAGTTGATGGTTGTGACATGAGACAAACATTGTGTTTGAATCCTCTATTGATTTGGCCAAAAGAGAAAAAAGCCGTATTCTAACTTATTTCTTTTAAGGATAAATTTGGGTGGATTTCTGATATCAGTGTATAAATCAAATGATATATCAAATTTAGCATTGAGGAAAAGACAAAATAATGAAGTGTTTTTTTTTTCCCCCCCTGATTTCTAAGTAAATTTCAATTTATTAATTTCTATCAAAATTACGTTAAGCCACTGAGGGCTTTCTTTTTAACCATCCATACCAAATAATGCCCCCAAAGAGTTCTTTTTAACCATTCATAACTCTTTTAGTCCCCAAATAATGCCATCAAAAATTGTTTTAAAATTAAAACTTCCTTTCCCATTAATTATTTAGAGAGAGAAATTATTAGAGAGGGGGGGGGGGGGGTTGAATGTAATTTTGGTGCCCTCAATTTCTTCAGAAAAATCAATGATTAACAATTTGATCTCAAGAAGTTATGGTTACAGAAACAAATCAGAATGCCGTGAAATTGCATTTAGGTTAGGTTTTCATTCTGAAATTCCAAACCGAATGATACATACATATACATAACTATGTATACCAAGAGAGAGTATTAAAACTGTTGATTGGGGGGGTGGGGGGTGGAGGTTGGGAGGCCCGCGCGAGAGAGTTCTGCAAAGTAAGCAGCGTCAACACTCGGCCAGCCTATGACCCCTTCAAAAATTCTTGCGCACTACGTGTTTGGGCGCGGCGAGCAGTTCTCACCACTCGTTTTGTTTTCCTTACTCATTAGTTTAAGGCAATTTGAAACCTTCGCACTTCTTCGTTACTTATCCCGCTCAACTTGGAGGAGATGTTTTGCTGGATTTCGATGTGGGACGACTTTGCAATGACTATTTTTTTTTTTTTTCTTTGTTAATTTGTTTGATTGGAAGGAAGGAAATGACAGTTTTTATATATTTCTCACTAATATAGAGGAGATATTTTGCTGGATTTCGATGTGGGACACTTTGCGATGGCTATTTTTTTTTTTTTTCTTTTTTCTTTATTAATTTGTTTGATTGGAAGGAAGGAAAGAAGGAAATGATAGTTTTTATATATTTCTCACTAATATACCTTTGCTATACAAAGTTATAAAATTAATTAGTTTAAAATTATTTAAAATATTGAGCTCTACTAACAAGTTGTCTAAAATGAATGTTTTATACTTACATACGAAACGATTTTTTTTTTTTTTTTAAATGAATGTTTTTTTTTTTGGTACATACCAAACAATTAATTAATTTAAATTTATTTAATAATCACTATAGCTGTAAAACGCAATAGGGTTTTAACAAATTTTTAGGAAGGATAAAAATGAAAATTATAACAAATTTTGATAGTTATCCTTTTTTTTCTCCACTCTTTTTCCCAAATTTAGACGGAAAATGTATAGCAAGAGGGATGAAGCATCCCTCCTTGCTTCCTCCTCTCTTCCATTCCCTCCAACCAAACATAAAAACATTCATTCATCCCTTCTCCAATCCATCCCTCCAACCAAATTATAGCATTAGAGTTTATAGCTTAAAGAATGCATTATTACTAATTTATAGTCACCCAATCTACTCTCTAATACAAATATCATGATATATAGGTCTACATAATTCCCTGTTTTTTCTAATAATTTCTACATTATAAATTATTTACTATCTCTACAATATTCTAAAATCTTTTAACTCACCCTACAATATTAGAATCTTTCAACTCCCATAATAGTACACTATCTGTACAGAAATGTGGATGACCCTAAAAATAAACTCTACTCATGTCTCATGCCATGCAGAGAGAAAGACTTCCCTTGATATTTTGTTATTCTTGTCCTCAACTAATTATATATTATATAACATAAGCAAAACTGCTTTTAATTTAGTGGATGATATTACTATATGTCAATATTTAATTCGTTGATAATACCATATCATGAATACAACGGGAGGAATAAAGTATTTCTCCATACTCAGATGGCCTAATATAGTGTATCTACAAATGAAAAAATATTTTAATACTCCTAGATATATTTGATCCGACCCCAAAAAAAACTGCTTTTAGTTTGCTTCAATGATTTATTGATTATTAGTTCTAACAATTTTATTAGTAGCTTGTTTTTAGATTGAAATAGTTTATTTATTCCTTTTTTTCACTTTTTAGTAGATATATTTGATCCGACCCCAAAAAAAAAAAAAAAAAAATTCAGTGGGGGCGTCACTAAAAAAAATAAGACTAATTTATTTAAGTTGAATAATAATAAGACTATTTTTTTTTTGAACCATGATAATAAATATAAAAAACTTAATGTTGATTAATAGTATTTTCATTCAATAGATTTATAATTATTTTCGATGAGTTTTCACCTTTTAAAAATTTTGCATCACATCTTCGATGCGATTAAATATACTTCTCTTAATATATATATATATATATATATATATATATAAATAATATGCCTCTATGTTTTCTTTGTTTTTTAAAGAATACAAATAAGAAATAAAAGCTATTAGACATGATTCTTTCTCCTTTTTCTCCCATCTTTGTACTGAATTTTAAGACCAAAGATATTTTTATAATTTTGTAGGAGTATTTATACAATTATTAAAAGATAGACATACAAAACTAAAATAACAGAGAGTTGAGTTAACATAGACATGATTACTTATTCTTAATGACCTAAAATAGAATCTTATTCAGAAAATTTGAAAGAGGAGGGAGCATGTTGAAATGAAAGAGAAGGAAAAGGATGTGAGAGAAAGAAATAATGATAATAAAAAATATAACAAGAGGGAAATATGAAACTTTTTATAATTCCCACCTTATATAATGATAGAAAATGAATAAAAAACATGAAATGACAAGAGGAGGGAGAAGAAAAAAAAAATGAGATAAGTAATATATTGAAATAAAAATTTCTATTGGTCCACTTTTAAATTTCATTATTGAAAGGAATAAAAAATTTAGGAATTGTAATATATAGAAATAGAAAATTTTTGGTGCCTTTCTAAAATTGAGATAAGTATAAAATTTTTTGAGCCTATCATTAAATTTCTAAATTGAAAGAAAATAATAATTTTAGAAAAATTATAATATATAATTGAGGAATTACTATCGTTTGGGTAGACCGCTTGTCTAAGGAGGTCCCCCTTCCTATAAAGCCAAGTCTATATCCCTTACTGTTATTAGTCAAAAGGGTACCACACAAATAAACGAAATCGGTTCCAAATATTCTAAATTATCTTCTTAACTAATCTTGAATTACTCCACCAAAAAAGCAACTTAGAGAGACACTCAAAGATTGACCATGGTTAGGTGGTTCCACGAACATACGCTCTTTGCCACTCGTCACGAAAAGGTCCCTACTCCACTCTACTAGATGTTGACACTTGGAGTACCCGTACATGCCGGGATTGACACGCCGACAAAAAAAAGGCCCCACTATATCTTCATAAAACGGTGGACCCCATTCAAAAAGTAATGGGCATGCCACATGGCATCTAATTGCATACGTGGCAATTCCATAGCGATTTCTTAACAAGCAGTATATTTTCACGCTTTTGTTTTTCCTTGGTTGCCCTTGGTCGGTCAGAGTTGGCGACTCGCCTACGCGGTGGTGGTGAGAGAGATAAGTCTCAATCAGGCACTACTAAATGTCCACTTTACCCTTTCATGAATATACTATTTTCTTCTTTTGATTTCCTTCTTTATCTCTGTTCTCTTTTTTTTCTTTTTTTTGTCAATTTATTTTTATTATTATATGAGAAGGGAAGCTTCGTGAGACTGTGAGAGTGATCTATATTATATACATCAAGCATTTAATATTAAAATACCCCTTATGTGAAGCATGACCCACTCAAAAATTGTGTCAAGGCGCGTGATATCATTTCTACTTTCCTTAGTTTATGGATAGGGTGAACCAAAGAATCTTTTGGTATATTCGATGCTTACCATGTTCTAATTCATTTTCCTTGCACTGCCCAATTTTCCACGATTCTCTCCCGGAAACATCAACCACCCTCGTAACGGTCCCATATATTATTTATTACTATTATTATTATTATTATTATTATAATATACCGACTTTCCATAGATCTCTGCCCGTTTAGGAAGTTTCGCGAGAGTGTAGTATTAGCTACAGCCGAGGACACTGTATCTCTAATAATATCACGGATTATGCACCGTTGATCTGTTATTTAGCCCCAACTCAACATGATGGTTGCTGAGTGATTGCATGTATTTTGAATTTTAAGATTATTTTAGAGTTCAAAGTGACTACAAACTAGTTAATTTATTGTTCATTCTAACAAGATCACAGAGTTTGTAAGATAGAAAACTGTGTTGGGTTCACAGGCAATCAAATCCCTTTATTTAAGGATAACGTTTGACTAATACTTGATTTGTTATTAATTAATTTTGTTTCCGTTTTTTCGTGCACCGGCAAATTTTCTAGAATATTGTCTCGAGAAACAAACAACCACCATCGGATTATAATTGAGCCACATGTACGGTTAGATTTCTTTGAAAGACGAAGTAATGAAGAGAGGCGACGTCGTTTAGTAAAGATTTGATTCCATGCAAATATCAAGTTTCTTTATTTGTCCCTAACCAAAATTACATTTTCCTTATATGTCATTTTGCCTATATAAGCATGCCCACCCCAAACCTCAAACATCACCGAATTTCTTCATTCTCATCTTTGCTTCATAACAGTCTCTCAAAACTCTTTCTTTCTCTCTCTCTCTAAAAACATTCATTTTCTCTCACTTCTTTTTGTGAACCCAAATGGCTCATAATCTTGTTAATGGTACCACTACTCTGGCCAAGGCTGCCAGCATATCGAGCCGAGCCTACGTGACGTTCTTGGCCGGTAACGGTGACTACGTGAAGGGTGTGGTTGGTCTGGCCAAGGGACTCAGGAAGGTAAAAACTGCTTACCCATTAGTGGTGGCGGTTTTGCCTGACGTACCGGAGGAGCACCGCCGCATACTGGTGTCTCAGGGCTGCATCGTCCGGGAGATTGAGCCGGTGCACCCGCCGGAGAATCAGACCGAATTCGCCATGCCCTATTACGTCATCAACTACTCCAAGCTTCGCATTTGGGAGGTAATAATATTACCTTACCACAAGTCTTATTTCCTTTTTTGGTGGTTTGCATATATATATATATATATAAAACGGGTTTTTAATTGAGATATGTTGGTTTGAAATTACAGTTTGTGGAGTACAGTAAGATGATATACTTGGACGGAGACATACAAGTGTTTGAGAACATTGACCACCTCTTTGACTTACCAAATGGCTATTTCTATGCTGTGATGGACTGCTTCTGTGAGAAAACATGGAGTCACACCCCACAGTACAAGGTTAGGTACTGCCAACAGTGCCCTAACAAGGTCCAATGGCCTTCCGAGTTGGGCCCAAAGCCTCCTCTCTACTTCAACGCTGGCTTTTTTGTGTATGAGCCCAGCCTCTCCACCTATGATGACCTCTTGAAGGCACTCAAAGTTGCAACTCCTACCCCTTTTGCTGAGCAGGTAACTAGCCTCACCTCCAAGGCTATTTATGTCAATTTTCAACTGTGGATTTCATTTACCAAATATATATATATTATTTGGGGGTGTTTAATGTTCTTTATGTGTACTTGCAGGACTTCTTGAACATGTTCTTTAGGGACAAATATAGACCCATCTCTTCGGAGTACAACCTTGTTTTGGCGATGCTGTGGCGTCACCCAGAGAACATTGACCTCAACAACGTGAAAGTTGTTCACTATTGTGCTGCAGTAAGTTGATATCATTTTTTTATTTTTCATTCCAATTTCATAAATATATTAGTACTTAATTTGTCAAAATTCTGAGAGGGTAAATTTGTCATTTTGATTTGCAGGGTTCAAAGCCATGGAGGTACACTGGGGAAGAAGAGAACATGGAAAGGGAAGACATTAAAATGCTAGTGAAGATGTGGCAGGATATATATGATGATGAGACTTTGGATTACAAGCCTAATGGAACTGAAGCTGGTGGTGCTGTTGATTTGATGGCGGCGTTGTCCAAAGCCCGCGGTGGTTTCCACCACGTTTCCGCCCCATCTGCAGCCTAATTTATTTGTGAAAATATATACTTTTAAGTTGAACTGTCACTCGTCTTGAACCAATAGACGCAGTTGATATTCGACATGAAAAGCAAATACTCTTTATTTTGTTATTCTTTTGATTTTTATTTGTAGAGTTTTTGGATTAAGGTTGTGGTTGTCTAATTAGAAGTATTGTGTCTTTGTATTATTTTTTTTTTGGTTTTCCTAGAGTGGTGTTCTGTTGGGTATGTTAATTTTTTGACACATACCCTATATTATTATTACGAAAATGAATTCCTCCATTTCTTCTTTTTGACTGTAATTCATCTTTTTATATGCTTGTTTGATTGGTTCTTTCTCCATCTTAATCTTGTTTTCTATGAGAACATAAGCCAAAAACTGAATCGTAATTGAGCCATGTTTATGAACATAAGTTTCAATTACCATAATCAATATTGTTTTCCTAAACATTCAAGAACCTAACAACTTTGAATGATAAGTTGTTTAGAATTATTGATTCTAAAACTTCTAAATAATACCCTAGCAAATTGGGATACTTTGGAAAATGTAACTCACAATTTCATTCCTTAAAATCAATGGCAAAAAGTTTGCTCAAAGAATTAGGCTCAACAATAACAAAATTAGCAGAGCTAGGCTATCTTTGTACATGAAAATTAATAACATTAGTTATGAGAAAAATGTGAGAAATATTGAAATTATATTTTGATTAATAAATGAAAAAAAATGAAATGACAATAATGGTAGTGAAAACTATTTTAATGAACAAATAATAATTTGCAGACCTAACTACCATCAGCTGTCTTGAAGTTTATAAGTTGAAAATCATTTACGTTTAATGAATTTCCACCACATCCTTTTTCATATATTTTGACTTTCATAAAGACAAATTTAAAATTAACAAAGTTTATTAAAAATACTAGCATTTACTTCTCTTTCTTCCATTTACTCCCATTTTTAAAAGAACCACAAACTCATCAAAGCTTTAATAAATTCCTGGAACTCCTTCCACTCCCTTTCTTTTCCTATCAAAATTTTATACTACAAAAAAAATAATAAAAAAATAAAAAATACATATCGTTAATTATATCTTCTTTCATTTCTTAGTGGTCCAAATAGAAATCAATGAGTGATAGTTGCTCACTCCAAGTCCCTTCCATGTCTTGCCTTTCCATCCGTTAATTTTTCCTAAAATTTCTTTTGAATTAAGGACAAACTACTTAACTTTATTGATTACTGAATTAAGAATGTGTCCCATATTAATTCATTTTTAATAATTACTACAATTCCATTTTACTATTTTTAAACTCATTCCAATCATTTATTAAAATAGTCTATTCCCTCTCAATCCATGTTTGGATGAGTAATTTTTTTTTTTTCTTTATTAATTGATACTTATACACACGTACCTATACTAAGACACGAACCCCCTAATACTATTTACACGTTGGAGAGGAGTAGATACGAAAAGAACTGATCATCAGACTCTATTAATATGCCTATCAAAACACTTAAGTTTATTGAGGGCAATTTTTATGAATAAGTTAAACTAATTTTATCTTATGATGCATTTTTACTGAACAAACAATAAATTATTATTCTAAATTTGCCATTGGCACCATAATTCAAAGCAAGAAAAGAATATTTTCTAATCAAGAAAAGAATATTCTCTCCCTTCCAGAAAGCAAGTCTAAATCCCACATTATTAGTCAAAATGGTACCACACTCCCACATATTTGTGTTAAACAAAAAGTCGGTTCAAAACATTATCCTATCCTTCAATCACTCCGCCAAGAAAAGCAACTAACATAACGACCACGACTCGATTGAGCATGGGTTAGGTTTCTCTGAGAGATGGTGACACTTGGAAAGCGGTACACGAGCCGGGATTGATACGCCGACATTAAATGGGCCCACTTTATCTTCCCAAATCGGTGGGACCCCATTTCATCCACCGCTCATTTGAATAGTATACAATAAACGTATTGGACCTCCACGTGGCTATTTCTTTTCAAGTAGTAAATTACACCGCTTTTGTTTTTCCTAGGTTGCCCTTGGTCGGGGAGATTAGGCGCGTTGGTGACGTAATTCAATCACAAAAAAATGTTTTTATATATTTTGTATATTATAATATGCCCACTTTACCCTTTCATTAATATAATATATATTTTCCTTTTTTTAAGTCCCAAGGTGCATAAACGACTCATATATAAACTTCAAATAAATGCAAACATTCACAATTTATCTTTTGCAGAACTTAAAAAATAATATCATATGTATTAATGGTATGATAATTCTTTATGAATGAGACCAGACTACACTTCTTGGATAAGATTTGAGGTACGTGTTTTGAATGTGATGTGGCTTTAATTAAAAAATGAATATGTTTTCAATTTGAATAGACATTATATTTCTCTTTATATCGAAGTATTAACAAATTTAAGCTCTATTTACATTAAGAAAGTAAACTTAACAAAAAATTAAATTAAGAAAGCAGACAAATTCAAAGATGAGCAGATGATTCCGATCATATATTCTTTTTGTTTCAAAAAAAAAATTGTGACTTTCGTTTTGAGACAGAAGGAGTATATATATATATTCCACACACTTATATATGTATATGTATGTATTCGTCTGAATTATTCATTGAAGGAGAAGTAAGAACAAACATTAAATTAGGTTTCTCTCTTTAACTTTCTTTTATATGCTTTATAATTTCAAGAAGTTTTAAGTGAATTATGTACTTATATAATAATTCAAACTTAAAATTTGGTTGAGAAAATTATGATTCTTATTGAAGGGAAAAAGTTGACTCCTAAAACATCTCTCAAAGAGTTATGAGTTTCAAATTTTACCATAAATAATTATTCCTATTTTTTTCTCAATCCTGCCATCTATTCTTTGTACAAAATCGCTTCAGAATATACAAAGAAAAGTTGCCAAACTTGCCATATTATCGGCTACAAAATTGCCATATCATGCATATGTCATGTAATTCAAGTTATTTTTATGACACAATATTTTGTGATGTTTAGCATTTTTCAATTTTTTTTTTTTGCTTAGACCAATTACTATAATTTGATTATTTGTCTATTCTAAAAGATTTCTAGATAAAACCCTTATATATATATATATATATACACACACACACACACATAGATTAGGTTAATGTTAACGTGCGTCCCAATTACTAGGAAAGAAATTCATAAACGTAAAAAAATATGTGACAAACCCTCAAATTCATTTTTCTTTCCATTTTCCATGTTTATGGATAATATGGAACAAGAATCTCTTGGTATATTTATTTGTTACAACTTACGTGTGTAATTATATTTAATTATTTTGTTTCTTTTTTCTTGCACCGACCAATTTTTGAGGATTTTCTCCCGAAAAATAAACACCAAACGGTCAAATCAAATCTCAGCAACAGATCAAATGTTTTCTTTAAGGTGTTGGTTGTCTAATTAGAAGTATTGTGTCTTTGTATTAATTTTTTTTTTTGCTTTTCGTAGAGTGGTGTTCTGTTGGGTATGTTAATTTTTTGAGACATACCCTATATTATTATTAAGAAAATGAATACCATTTGAATGGTTAAGAAATGTTTAATCCATTTCTTCTTTTTTACTTTAATTCATTATTGATTTCTTTCTCTAAATCTTGTTTTCTATGAGAACATAAGCCAAAACTGAATCATAATTGAGCCATGTTTATGAACATAAGTTTCAATTAGTCCATAATCAATATTGTGTTCCTAAACATTCAAGAACCTTAACAACTTTGAATGATTAGTTGTTCAGAATTGATTCTGAAATTTCTCATTAGTACCTTAACAATAGTACCTTCTAAATATCTTTTCATCTCATTGAAAGTAGGGACACAATGAAGTTGAAATTCAATCAATTCCAATATTGTTCCTTAAATCAATGGCAAGAAGTTTGCTCAAAGAATTAGGCTCAACAATAATAAAATTGGCAGAGCTAGGCTATCTTTTTTTTTTTTTTTGTTGGCGGGCATCGGAACTCACCTAGGCAGGGCTCCTTCGGAACCCACCTTAGACTACAAACCGGGGATGCTGTCGACGGGCCCACACCTTAGCAACAATTCCAGCTAAGGGTATCTTTGTACAAGAGAATTGATAACATTTTTTATGACAAAAATGTGAGTTGGGATGGTGTGTGATCACTAATCTAAATGGTACTGACTAATAAATGAAAAAGAAATGAAATGATAATAACAATAGTGATGTTTGTTAGACTACTAAATGAAAAAAAAAATGATAATAATCATATTTAAATAAGGGAATGAAAACTATTTTACTGAGAGTAATAATTACCTATTTGTTTATCCGAATAGCTTGATCTATTAATTCATTTAATGAAATTCCACCATATCCTTTTTCATATAGAGTAGTGATACATTTACCGAACTTAACCACCGAAAAAAATCACCGAATCCAACGTGGCTATGCCACGTAATAGGAGAGAGGCTAAAACGATTTCTTCTCTCTCCCCTCTTCGTTTAGGACTCTCTCACTCTCTAGACTCCCATCAATTATTATTTCTCTCTTTTCTCTTTCCAGTTGGCAACTTAATTTCTTGCACCATTTTCTATCTGAATCTAAATTTATAAGCCACCATTCGAAATACAACTGTTTTTGTTGTATTGAATTTGTGCCATGAATTTTTGTCTCTCCAGTGCAATCTCTGTAAATCTAAGGAATAAAAGTTTGCTCCCAAGTGGAGGTAGCAGACATTGGTAAGGCTATAAGTTATCTCAACCACCTAAGCATTCAACTAAGACTTCGATCCGAATTAGAAGAATTATGCACCTCTAACTCTTTACTAATATATTTCTTGGTTCAGAAAAAGGAAGAAAAAAAACAGGGTATAATCACCGGCCAGACTGCCATTGCCTTCAACATCTTTGCTTCACGTTGAATGTCATACATATTTTTGGAGACCTAAAACAACATACATGTTTACATAATTGGAACCAAAAAACAAAAACACTGTGACAAATTCTAAGCGGATGTTAAAATACTTTCATCCATAGAAGTTGTTAAATGACACCCTGTAAACCACTCTTGTTTCCTTGATATTTAGCTTGTAAATTCCTTCATCAATACAAATTCAGACATTATCTTCTTCAACTTGTCTTCTCTTGCTCTATCTACTTGGGCATAGCATCTGCTCCATTTAAAAATAAAAAAAAATTTATTTATTAGTTTCTCATCCAACTCTAAATTAAGCATAGGTTCCAAGGCAAGACATGTTTCCATGAAACATATATCATCTGCAAAACCTTCAAAGATTTGCTCACCAGTCACCGAAATTCTCGCGTAGATGTTTAGGAGACAATTAGCTGCTTGTATCCATTGTTTGATTTTAAGCACCAATTCTGCCTTAAAAAACTTTTTTAACAACTTAATGCCAAGCCGTTAAAAACTGTGTCCATGAAAGACTTCCAAATACGTACAGAAATCAGATAGAGAGGAGGAATAATCGATAAATGAAAGGAAATCTAGACGAGAGAGCGTCCCTAATGAAGAGGAAGAAAGAGAAGATAAACCGTTTTAGCTTCCCAGAAATTTTTAGTCTCCTACTTGAATGAGTTAATGAATTACGTGGTTATGCCATGTAGGATTCGACTATTAATTCGGTTACTTGGTTCGGTAAATGTATCATTATTCTTTCATATATTTTGATTTTCATAAAGTCAAATTTGAAATCAACAAAGTTTATTAAAAATACTAGCATTTACTTCTCTTTCTTCCATTTACTCCCATTTTTAAAAGAATGACAAAATCAACTCATCAAAACTTTAATAGACTCCTCCCTAAATCCTTCCACTCCCTTTCTTTTCCTTTCAAAATTTTACACTACATAAAAAAAACCATATCCTTATATTTTCTTTCATTTCTTAATTAGTGGTCCAAATAGAAATCAATGAGTGATAGTTGCTCATTCCAATTCCCTTCCCTGTCTTGCCTTTCCATCCACTAATTTTTCCTAAAATTTCTTTTGAATTTGGGACAAACTGCATAACTCTCTATTGATTACTGAATTAAGAGAGTGTCCCATATTAATTCATTTTTAATAATTACTACAGTTCCATTTTACTATTTTAAAACTTCTTTCAACCAATTATTACAATAGTCTATTTCCTCTCAATCCATATCTAGAGAAGTGATTTTTTTTTTTCCTTAATTGGTACTCATATACACATTTTCTCCGAGACTCAAATTCTTGATCTCTCTTTGAAAAGTAAGAATCTAATACTACAGTTAGACCACTAACTTGCTAGCTATGAAGTACGGACACGGATATGGGATACGGATACGACACGACACGGATACGGCGACACGGTAAATTTCAAAAAAATAGGACACGGACACGGTGGGGATACGCCTATAAAATTATATATATCTATATATATATATATATGTTCAAAATATAATTACTAGAATTTTGTACAGATAAATAAAACAACAACAAATAACAGAATCAATTTCAATAATTTCATCTCTGTTATAAGAAAAATATAGACAAGACAAAACAGAAAATAAATGAAAAATAAAGTTGATCCAAATTCCAAACGAAGATGTGCAAAAGAGACATAACTATAATGAACTAAATATGTATATGAATAAACATATATATTTTCAGTCTTTCACAAAGTTTTGTTCATGTAACTTATATATATATATCTTGTTCATGAAGAGAGATAATTGAAGAATATGAGAGACTGAGAGGAATGAGAAAATAAATTTTGTCTCACAAAAGTGTCGGACCGTGTGTCCGAGCCTCGGACACACGTATCCAATAAAAAATAATATTTGAACACTTTATAGAAGTGTCGGACACGTGTCCGAGCTTCGGACACGGGTGTCGATGTCCGAAAAGTATCCGACATGGGTACGGAACCCCTGAAAGGAGTGTCCGTGCTTCATAGCTTGCTAATGAGGAGTAAATATTGGAAGAGCCTGATCACTCGACTCTATTAATACACCTATCAAAACACTTAAGTTTATTGAGAGCAATTTTTATGAATAAGTGAAACTAATTTTATCTTATGATGCATTTTTACTGAACAAACAAATAATAAATTATCATTCCAAATTTGCCATTGGCACTATAATTCAAAGCAAAAAAAGAAAATTTTCTAAGCAAGAAAAGAATATTCTCTCCCTTCCAGAGAGAGCAAGTCTATATCCCACACTGTTGGTCAAAATGGTACCACACAACGGAGTATTTATTTAAACAAAAAGTCGGTTCAAAACATTATCCTATCCTTCAATTACCCCACCAAGAAAAGCAACTGACATAACTACCACGACTAGAAGATTGACCATGGTTACGTTTCTCTAGGAGATGGTGACACTTGGAAAGCTTACGCAACGCGGGATTCATACGCCGACATTAAATGGGCCCACTTCATCTTCACAAATCGGTGGGACCCCATTCAATCCACCTCTCATTTGAATAGTATACACTAATAAACGTATTGGACCTCCACGTGGCATCTGATTGTCTGCGTGCCAATTCCCTAGCTATTTCTTTTCAAGCACCAGTAAATTACACCGCTTTTGTTTTTCCTAGGTTGCCCTTGGCCGGTGAGATTTGGCGCGTTGGTGAGGTAATTCAAGCACAGAAAAATATTTTTATATATTTTGTATATTATAATATACCCACTTTACCCTTTCATTAATATAATATATATTTTCCCTCTTTTTTTTTTTTTTCTTTTTTTTTAACCCTTTTTAAGAGAAAGGAAGCTTCACGAGGATATATGAGTCGTGGATGCTGCTCCTTGAGACTGAAACTCAGAATCCTTGTGACATATATATATATATATATAAACTTCAAATAAATGCACACAATCACAATTTATCTTTTGCAGAACTTACAAAATAATATCATATGTATTAATGGTATGATAATTCTTTATGAATGAGACTACACGGATAAAATTCGAGGTATGTGTCTCGAATGTGATGTGATGTTAATTAAAAAATGAATACGTTTCAAATTTTAATAGATATTATATTTCTCTTTATTTTCTTATTGAAGTATGAACATATTTAAGCTCTATTTAAATTAAGAAAATAAACTTAACAAAAAAAAAATTAAATTAAGTAAGTAGACAAATTTAAAGATGAAAGGATTATTCCAATCATATACTCCTATTCGAAAAAGAAAGAATAAATAAAAAATAAGAACAAACATTAAATTAGGTTTCTCTCTCTATCTTTCTTTTATATGTTTTATAATTTCAAGAAATTTTAAGTGAATTATGCACTTATACAATTATTCAAACATAAAATTTGGTTGAGAAAATTATGATTCTTATTAAAGAGAAAGAGTTGACCACTAAAACATCTCTCAAATTTTACCATAAATAATTATTCCTATTTTTCCTCTCAATCCTACCATATTTTCTGTGTACAAAATCTCTTCAAAAATATACAAAGTTAAATTGCCATATCATATATATATGTCATGTACAAATTATTTTCATGACACAATATTTTGTGATGTTTAACATTTTTCAAAAAATAATCGATTATTAAAGTAAAAAAATATGTGACAATCTTTCATTTTTCTTTCCATTTCCCATGTTTTTTTGTTACAACTTACATGTATAATTATATTTAATTATTTTGTTTCTTTTTTCTTGACCGACCAATTTTTGAGGATTTTCTCCCGGAAAAGAAACACCAACGGTCAAATCAAATCTCAACAACATATCAAATGTTTTCTTTATTATATACCTACCATACATACTGTATATATATTTATATGGTTTTTTTTTTTCAAAGGAAGTTTCGTGAGAGTGTAGAATGATCAAATCTGAGCCACATTTGTACGGTTAGATTTCTTTGAAAGACCCAAGTATATATGCATGTAGAGAAGGAAGACGACGTCGTTTGATGAAGATTTGATCCATGCACTTAATCAGTTTCCTTATATACCCCTAACCAAATAGCGGTTTACCTTATATGTCATTTTCTAGTTTGGACTTTTGCCTATAAAAAGCATGCCAACCCCAAACACAAATCACCAAACAACTTCATTTTAATCTCTACTTCATAACAGTCTCTCCAAATCCTTCTCTCTCTAAACCATCTTTTTCTCTCACTTCTTTTTGTGAACCCAAATGGCTCCTAATCTTGTTAATGGTACCACTATGACCACTACTCTGTCCAAGGCTGCCAGCATATCGAGCCGAGCCTACGTTACGTTCTTGGCCGGTAACGGCGACTACGTGAAGGGTGTGGTTGGTCTGGCCAAGGGACTCAGGAAGGTCAACACTGCCTACCCACTAGTGGTGGCAGTTTTGCCTGATGTCCCGGAGGAGCACCGCCGCATACTGGTGTCTCAGGGCTGCATCGTTCGGGAAATTGAGCCGGTGTACCCGCCGGAGAATAGCACCGAATTCGCCATGGCCTATTATGTCATCAACTACTCCAAGCTTCGCATTTGGGAGGTAATTAATTATACTCTTACCTTCTTATTTCCTTTTTTTGGTGGTTTATACTAATTTTTTATATGCTGGTTTGAAATTACAGTTTGTGGAGTACAGTAAGATGATATACTTGGATGGAGACATACAAGTGTTTGAGAACATTGACCACCTCTTTGATCTACCAAATGACTATTTCTACGCTGTGATGGACTGCTTCTGTGAGAAAACTTGGAGTCACACCACACAGTACAAGTATAGGTACTGTCAACAGTGCCCTAACAAGGTCCAATGGGCTTCAGAGTGGGGCCCAAAGCCTCCTCTCTACTTCAACGCAGGCTTTTTTGTGTATGAGCCCAGCCTTTCCACCTACGATGATCTCTTGAAGGCCCTCAAAGTTGCAGTTCCTACCTCTTTTGCGGAGCAGGTACTAGCCACACCTAAGGTTATTTATGTCATTTTAAATTCTTTTTTACAAGAGACTTGGGAAATAAATAAAAAGGTGTTTTTTTGCACTATTTTTTGACAAGTCATAATTGTGGACCACCAAAGTTATGAGACACACCCTACTAGCTCGGTCTTACTCTAGTTATGTGAGACACTAGACTAGTCCTGTATATGTGTTAACCAATGAACTTGATTTTTGATTTTGTGTTATTGTTGTTTACATGTGTGCAGGACTTCTTGAACGTGTTCTTTAGGGACAAGTATAGACCCATCTCTTCGGAGTACAACCTAGTTTTGGCTATGCTGTGGCGTCACCCAGAGAACATTGACCTCAACAATGTGAAAGTTGTTCACTATTGTGCTGCAGTGAGTGATATATATATTCTTCTCTCTTTCTAATATAATTAATGAATACTTAATTTCTCAAAATTCTGAGAGGGTAAATTTGTCATTTTGATTTGCAGGGTTCAAAGCCATGGAGGCACACTGGGAAAGAAGAGAACATGGAAAGGGAAGACATTAACATGCTAGTGAAGAAGTGGCGGGATATATATGATGACGAGACTTTGGATTACAAGCCTAGTCAAACCGCTGGTGGTGCCGGTGAATTGATGGCGGCTCTGTCCAAAGCCGACGTTTTCCACCATGTCACAGCCCCATCTGCAGCTTAATTTATTCGTGGGAAAAAATGCTTTTAAGTCGAATTCGCGCGTCTCGAACCGATAGACACCAATTCCACTCAAAAAGCAAGGAATTTTAGTTACAAGGTCCTTATTGTAATTAGAAGGATTTATAAATTTTTTTTGGTTTTGATAGGGTGGTGTTTTGTTGGGCATGTCAGACATTTCTTATATATTAAGAAATGAATAGATTTGGATTGGTTAGAAATGTTAAATCCATTTTTCTTTATATATGCTTGTTGATTTCTTTCTCTATATTAATCTTCTTTTTTATGAAAATGGGTCAAGTGCAAAAAATATGCTTATAGTGCATATCACACCCTTCTCCTACAAAGTTTCAATTTGGTGCAATCAAGTCCCTCTGATACATTTACAACCAAACTTGACTATAATACCTTAGTCAACAATTTTATAAAAATATAAAATTTTGTAAAAAGACTAAAAAGGACAATAAACAGTGACTTGGGGACTTGCAAGTTCCAATTTGTAATTTGGAACAGGGCACTTGCAAGTCGCAATTTGGAATCGAACTCGTCTGGGTTTTGCAATTTTCCTTAAAAAAATATTCATGGGGTTTTGATTGTGAAGACGGGTTCGACTGTGGAGAGCTCGGCCGGTGGAATAGGCGGCCGACGAGCAAGAGAGGGCTTGGTGATGCAGCGGTGGTGATGGCAGACGGGCTGTGGAGAGCTTAGATTGAGTTTTACAAAGAGTAGAGAGAGAAGGATGGGTATATTCCGAAGGCACCGGCGGGCAAGGAGCATCTCGGCTGTAAATGACGGCAGGCTCGGCTTTGATGATGGAGGCGGCGGCGAGCTGCGACGACAGAGAGACGGACGGTGGTGAGAGTAGAGAGAGAAGGATGTGTATTTTCCAACCTTGTTTAACACATTATTTTATCAAATCATCCGTAATTGGTTCAAGTGTTCGATTTTCTTGATTTTTTATTTGGTACCTTGTTGATTACGATCTGTGAATCTCTCATTATCTCTCTTGATAAGAGTGAGACTCGATTGCTGAACTGATTAAGAATAATTTTCACTATACTCTGGATCTCATTTCAATATTTAATGATTTGCAGGGAGAGCTAGAGTTTGGACTTTCCAATGTAAGAATTTCATTGTTCTTGAATGTTGATAATGTTTTTAAATTGCTACAATAAATTATTATTATTATTATTCTTGTTTTATGGATTTGAATTTAACTTCAATATAAGTTGCTGTCATTTGAATTTCAGTTCAATATGAGCACAAGGCAGAAACTCATTTTTTTTTTTTTCTTTTTGCCTCTTTTTTTTCCTCACTGTGTAACGGATTTTAAGAATATATATATGTGTGTCTCTGTGTGTGTAATACCCCAATATTTTAAAGGATTTATTAATTACAATTAATTACTTTTATTTTATTTTTAAATGATTTGTTTAATTTATTTGGGTTTAATTGCTTTTATTTTTAGTTTTAAATGATTTGTTTTATTTAATTGAGTGCTTAGATTAATTATTTTATTTTAATTATATTATATTTCATGATTATATATGATGATTGTTTGTGGGTGTGCTTGATTATTAATTGAATTGGTGTGTTGGTTTGCTTTATAAGAATGTCATGATTGTGTTATTTTTAAGTTGCTTATTTGACCATGTGTAATTTTATACTAGTGTGATTTTATTGTGAATTAATTGTAATTATTAGATTTAATTAGATTAATTTATTTATTTAAGTTAATAGGTTTGGGCTTAGGGGGAGTGGAACCAATGGATATCGTCTTGGCCTTGGATGGAGCCTTATTGAGTTAATTAATAAAGGTCCATAGTTAAGTGATTATTTTAATAATCATTTTTGTATAATTATAAATATATATTATAATTATATAGTTAATGTTATGGAAGGGCATATATATATTAATTAACCAATGGATTAATTATGGAAGGTATATATATATATATATATATATATATATATTATTTAAAGGTTATTATTTTAATTCATAATCCTAGTTGGAATAGGATTTGGAATTTAATGTGTATAAATATACACATAAGGATTTAGGGTGAAAGGTTTTCACACGTTAGAAAAATAAGATAGAGAGAGAGAAAGAGATAAGGAGAAGGCCAACAAAGAGGAGGCCGAATCTGAGAAGGAGGATGTTGGGATTGGAAGAGACCATCAAAGCTTAAAGCGTCGGTTTCGTTTCGAAACCTTCAGGGAAATTCTTTTCTAACTCTCCTCTTAGAACCCATAAATTTATCACCTTGTGTATCAATATTAAATTTAAATTTATTTGTTTAAAAATCATTGATAGATTGGATTAATTAAAAGTATAAATTATTATAATTGATCTTTTGGAATTTTGGATTTTAAATTGATATATATTAGGTATTGCATATATATTTTAAAATCAATGTATAGGTGAATTTGTGACCTAAGAGGGTTTATTAGGGTTTCTTTATGTTCTGGAATTTTCCTGGAATTTTCTAGAATTTTTATGACATTTTTAGGAATTTATTAGAATTTATTTTCCTATTATTTGGTTGGAAAATTTTATATATATATATATATATATATATATATATATATATATATATGCTGAATTTACATACTGGAGGTTGTATTTCGGTGCATCAGAAGGGGCTTCTGATTCAGTGTAGCGCGGCATAGCATAGTTTGGTGTATGTGTGAATCAGACCCATTAACAATGACTGATTGATTCGATGTAGTGCAGCGTATGAAGCTTCAGTGCGCCATAGGTCAGAGACCATTGGATGAGGTTTGATAAATGGACGGGATAGGGTGTGGCGCGGATCACATGTATATGGTGCGCACAAGAGTTGAATGGCTAAGATGCGCTGATGGGGAGCGGCTGATCTGGTGCAGGTGCACTCATGCAGCAGAGAGGAGAGTAGCCAACCAAAATGCGCCACATCAACAAGAAGAAGAAGTAGGCGCGTGGCAGCGCGTGAAGCCACCTGCCAGTATAGGGAAGCGCGTGCAGATGAATTGGGTGCGCGTGGAGGCGCGTGAAGGGCGTGGGGAAGCATACTGGTCTTGGAAAGTTCCTGTGCAGTCCGGTGATGTCCCATATTTGATTTCAAGCTTGTTAAGGTTTAAACCAACCACAAAAAGAGATATTCTTAGGGTTCCGAGGGCAATAAAGTGTCACTACGGTATCTAATGTGCGAATAATTAATTAATTAATATTACGTGATGGAAGGAGATATATATATATATATATATATATATATATATATATATATATATGATTATTTATATATGTGTATATATAGTTTAATTGGTTAGGATAATTATAGACGGATGTGTATATATTTATATTTATTAATATATGCATATATAATTTGAATAATCAAAAATTTTTATGGATGGTATTATACATATTTATATATTATATGTGTATGTATATATATCATTTAAGATTATTATTCTTATTTGATATATCTGGATAGGCGGATTGTTAAATTAGTGATATGTTTATTTTCTGCATGAGATATCTATGTATGAATTAGTTATCGTTGAGTCTAAAGTTGGTACATGGTTGAGTTGTAGTTATGGATGAGTTGTTATGGGTGTAAATATATTGCCTAAGTATTTGTATGAATAAAATACATACATAGAAAGTATGGATGATTTGCTAGTTTAAAAATATAAAATATATACTTGTGGAGACGTGGTTGAATTGTAAATGTATAAATAAATATACTTGTGGAGGCATGGTTGAATTGTCAAAGTATAAATAAATATATTTAAGAAGGCATGGTTGAGTTGCCAATATATAAATGAAAATATCTATAATGGCATGGTTGATTTGCCAAAGTGTAATTAAATTGCTGTGTGTTAGATGATTAAAATATCATCTATGGTTATTGTATGTATAGGTTGGATTAGGATTAGATATTCTTAATTTAGAATAGTCTAACACTTACAAGTTAGTGTATTATTTTATACATATTAATAAAATAATACTGCGCGGAGTGTCAAAACTTAGGTTTTGGATATATGATTTAAATAATTTAAATCATTATTGGGTTTGGATTAAATACAATATTCTTTTAACTGTCTAGGATGGAATTAAGGTTAAAGGGAGTTTCTTTTTAAAAGGGAAAAAATAAATTGTGAACCAGTCTAGGTATGATTATTAATTTAATCATTGTTTATTGGTTTTGGGAAAATTAATGAATCTAGTAATAGATGAGACTGTTATATTATATATATAATTATAGATATATATGTTTATCATTGTAAATTAAAGATAAAAACTTTATTAAGTTTGGTTTTGATCAGAGATGATCTATTTATTGGTTTTCAGAGGTCTGATAGAGAGAACTTGCTCGTAGAGTTTAACCCACGATTTATTTTTCAGGTTATTAGAGATTCCAGTCTCGAGGTTGAGGATCCGCAGCTGGGAGACTGTCATTCATCTATTCATCTTGTGTACTGTTAAGTAGTATTGGATTATTAGATAATATTTTAAGGGGTCCTTAAGTTACAGGATTCCCGAGTTGTAATTGTTGGAGAATTATTAATTAATATTTATTTATTGGTTTTCTTCAGCGATTTATTTATTCTTTATTTTTTATCTTTGTATTCTGTGCTTGTTAAATATTTTAATTGTTTTGATATTTCCCTGATTTTGTGCGCGGACTTGATCAACCCGTGTTCCGAAATTAGGGGGTATTACAGTGTGTGTGTGTGTGTGAGTATAATGATGATGAAGGAAACAAAGTGAGGAAACCAAGAAAAAAACAAAGTGATGGAAACAATCATAGCTTCTCAAGCTTTAATTGCTCACACTGATTCATAATTGCAAGTTTATTGCAATTTTAAAGTTTTAAATTGAAACGTTGGTGGCTAAGGAGAAGGGTTGTGGATATTGCTTGTTGTTTGAGTTCTGAGTTTGAGATAATTTTGAGTTCACAGACCTATTGTAAAAGGGGAAGAGAATGAATCCTGATTCCCTTTCATAGACCCATTAAATCTGGGTTCGCAATCTTAGCATCGAGATCCGGCCACCGCCACCTCCAATCCACAACCCACAAGGCATCGATCAGGCGGTGGTTGAAGAAGAAGAAGAAGACGGTAGTGGGAGGAGGAACTGGCGGCACATAGTAGAGAGAAAATGATGGGTATTTTTGGAAGACTAAAAGGGCAAAATGGGTATTACAACAATAATTTAGGGGTGATTATTGCACAGAGGGGTAGTTTTGCACAATTTTAAAAGA